AACCTGACAGATTTCGCTGGCATCCAATTGCGCCTTTCAGGCGTCAAAGCCCATAGTTCCCTCGGAATAGGCGAGAAACTTCATGACCCCCTTCGTAGAATTTTTAGAAAAGTGCGAGCGGACTACCCCCAACAAGATCCGAGCATATGTTTAAAAATTGCAGTGAAAGCAATGAATGACTCGATTGGTGAAAACGGTCTCGTACCCACACTTCTTGTATTCGGTATTATACCAAGATTTCCGATCATAAGCACCAATTTGCCCTCACAAAAAGAGCGAACGGCCATACTTGCAGCAGCACAAATGGAAATGAATGCTATTGTTGCAGAAAGAAGAGTCGCAACTGCACTTTCAAGAAACATACCGCCAGCTTCAGATCGCAACTATAATCTCGGTGACGAATTTCTAGTCTTTAGTGAACTAGAAAAACAACGGAAAGGACCATTTGTCGTCATTCATACCCATGGTCGAATGATAACAGTCCAATCTCGGAATGCCACGTACCGACAAACGTTTAATGCCTTTCAAGTTAAACCATACTACCACGATACCGAATCAGTCCTTCACTTCATGTCCTCGCCGTCCCAATCGCCAGAAGCCCCAAAGCCCCCACCGAACATCTATGTGACAGAAGTCATTCACCCCAGCGATCCAAGAGCAGCACATTTTGACTCTGCGAAGAAAAAGGAAATCGAAGGTCTAATTAGACGCGGAACATAAAAAATAATCATGAGAGATGAAGTTCCGAATAATGCTAACATCCTCGGTGGACGCTTTGTCCTAGCTATTAAAGACTCCGACACCGACAAGGAAGTTTGGAAAGCGCGTTACGTTGTCCAAGGACACAAGGATAAGTTAAAAACCTCCCTTGTCCACGACGTCGCCACCACACGGCAGTTTACAGTAAAGATGATAGTCGGTTTGGCTGCTCTGTGCGATTTTAGGCTCTACTCAACAGACGTTACAAAAGCCTACCTACAAAGCGCTGATAATCTTATGAGGGACGTTTACATTAAACCTTCTCGTGAGTTTGCGTTAGGACCACACCAAGTACTCAAACTTCTCAAACCCCTGTACGGACGGGCTGACAGTGGTGACTACTGGGGAAGAACCGTAAAACGTTATCTCATAGAAGAACTTGGCATGAAACAAAATATCACCGACGGCGCCTTCTTCCTCCAACAAATCGATGAAAAGCTATCCGGCTTGTGTGCTGCATATGTAGACGACTGCTTGCAAACAGGAGATGAAAAGTTCCGCACTACGTCACGTAAACTTGAGAAATCGTTTAAGTGCAGAAAAAGAGAATACGATCACGTTCAGTTCGCAGGAGTACAAATCGACAAAGACGAGTCTGTATTCATAATGCATCAGAAGAGATACATGAGTCGTCTCGAAATACTTCCCAAAAATGCTGATTTTACAAAGTTTCGTTCGTTACGGGCCCGACATGCATGGCTGACACAGACTTGACCAGATATAAGCTGCGCTGTTGCTCAGTCCGCACAAGTAATAAAGGAATTTTTTTTCGACAAGAACCATTAAAACTGACAAAATCGTTGAACAGTGTAGTCCGACACTTACGCAAGAGCCCGGATTTGTCGCTAAAATATCCTTCACTTGATAAAGGGTCACTTCGGCTACAAGTATACTCTGACTCCTCATTTGGGAACAATCACGATGGTTCGTCACAGCTCGGCTATACCATATTCCTCGCCGATAATACCAATCTTTGCAAACCCATCTTCTGGTCATCCCACAAATCGAGACGTGTATCTCGCTCAGTACTTGGCAGCGAAACTATGGCGTTCGCTGATGCCTTCGACATGGCATTTGCCATAAGAAATGATCTTTCAAACATGCTATCGCAAAAACTTCCAATTGTAATGCTCACTGACAGTCTGTGACTGTTCGATGTGGTAACAAAGGCCACGTTTACGACTGAGAAAAGGTTCATGATCGACATTAAGGTTGTTAAAGACTCATACCACCGCAACGAGATCAAAAATATCGGTTTTATCCGTTCCGAGTACAACCCAGCAGATGCGTTAACAAAAGTGAGGCCCAACTCTATCTTGGAAACCATCCTATCATCATCGCAACTCATCCACCCCGTCGAGCAATGGATCCAACGTCACTGAAATGAACAAAATGAATTTTGCCATTTAAAGTTGCCGGAATGTTAAAGTGATTTGTGTTTAGATTGGGACTACCTATGATAATATGTTGCCTGATTCGCACTGTAGCCTACAAATTAGCTGTATCCTACACCTTTTTGTCACCTACCACCCACCTTTGCCGTATTAGGCCTCAGGTGTACTATTCCCTTATGGAATGTGTTACCTAGCTTTAAGAACTACTTTTTAGGTACGTTTGAAAGGCTTCCTGGGTAGCAATCCTCCTTTTGGTAGCGTAGTGACACTTTTAGTTTATTTGGTAAGTATCTCCTCGAGTTCTAGAGTACTATAAATGTCTACGACTAAACGGCCCCGGTACTCGGCATCAAATCTTGCCATCAACAAAAACCAACCACCACCGACAACCTCGCGCCAACGCGTCCCGTCTCTCCCCTCTGGCTCGCCCTCCGACCACCGCACCCCATGCCAACCCGGCTTGTGCGTACCCCTTGCACCCCGTGCCGCGTTTGGCCGCGGCAAACGGTGTGCTCCCCTTTTTACTCTACTGTACCCCTTTACAGTAATTTAACCGACAAAAACAACCAGGCCCATCGCATGTGAAGCCAGCCAGCTCAAGATTTAATCTCCTACAGAATGAACTTCCGCTGTCATGCGGAGATTCCGGGGAGCGTCGAAGAAGTCATGAATGCTGCCCGAGGGACACGATGGCAAGGGCAGCAAGACAAAATATGGGCGCGAGGAAGGCCATGCCGTCGCGAGAGACGTGGGTATGCCAAGGAAGCCGACGATTGGCCGCGCCTACTACCACCTTTTTTGACTAAAAGTTGCGAAAACTTTGTCAACCGCATCCAATGAGAGGCTGTTTCTTGGAAGAATTGTAACGGGAGGAAAAGATTCTCCGTGATGGACTCGCGATATTGATACATCCTCGCAACTGTAATGTTCAGCGCCATGGTGCGCACTACGTGTTCCTTCCATGTCCCTCCAAAAACTCGTTCTGTAAGATTCCCTTTGTCCTCACACCGCCTTACACCTCCCCTAAAAATGGCGCACACGTCGACTTTTTCAAATATTGTTTGGGCGGGAGAATGCCCACTGTTTCCTTACATCCAAAAATTACCTGTCTTGCTTTAAATATGTACGCACGTCCATGTACGTCCTTGTCAACCTTATACTGTACCCCCTAGGGTACCTCACTATGATACCTTTTGATGAGATATTAATATCAGCTAATATTAGCTTGATGCATTTTTCTTGTCGTGGACGCAAAAAGGCGAAATATTTCGTCTGGAGAAGGAAAAAATGCAAAGAGAATTGGAATCATGGCAATTTCATGGTGGTTTAAAATCCACAACAGGCGGCGTGTTCAACTTTCGTACTGTAGCGCACGGCGCAGGGAGTGGTGGAGTTGTGGAGGCGAGCGGAGGAGCACGCGAACGGCCACACGTTGAGGCGAATATTGTGGTGTAGCGAGGGGAGACTCTGGGAAAGACTCGAGATGGCGGCACTGCGTCTTTTAATTTTTTTGCTGATGCGCACGTTGTGTGTGGGCCGAGGGCGCAGCAAGGGAAACACGATGCTTTCACCGATGGTCTTCATCCACTTGCAGCCACCATTAATTTTCCAAATTTCTTCCAAAAAACAGCTAGCAACCCGTCAATCCCCCTCCCTGCACCCTTCGTCAACATGGCGACGACTAATTGCATTCCATCTTCTACAGTAAGTGTATGATACTGTACCCAAGGGTACCTGTAAAGGTTGGGTCAATGGCACTTCGAGTCTAGGACATCCGTGGCAATTTAGACTGACGCAACTTAAACTTGGCCATTTCAACAATCCGCCGCCACCGCCACCTCAGTAGCCTCGAGGGAAACTAAATCGACAGAGTTACCTTCGCGCCTTTCATGCAGCCCTCTGAAATGGCGTCATGTAGCCACGGCCCGTTTGGCATTCTGCTGCCGGCTGTATGCCCTCATCCAGTGGTTAATGAGAGCTTACAGCCGAGATCTCCATGGGCGCCGCGAGACGCGGAGCCTGTTTTGCCTTGTAAAAACCGGGGCCGTGTGATGAGCATACGAGAGCGGCTGACAGTGACAAGGCGGTGGTGGTTAGAGGGGGAGGGGCGTAGGGGGCAGGGGTGGGTGCGGGGAAGGGCGGGGGGGGGGTTTGCCCTGGAGGGAAACCGACAAGTGTGGATGCGGACAAGTTGCCGCTCCGTTTTTTTGCGGAAATTTTGGGGCGGTTTGTTGCCGGAAAGCCACGCTCGCGCCCACACGCGCGCCGTCCCCCGTGTGTTTACTTGTGCTGTGTGTCCGGTCGCTGCACGCCGTCCCACGCGCGAACCCTTTGCTCACACGCACACCTGTTCCCTTGCGAGAGCACGCACTGGCGAAAAACAAAACAAAATCTAAAATAAAAAAAAAACTCTCCAAAAAAACCCGGAAGCTCCCCCCCCCCCCCCACCTTGGCCTCACCCCGCCCTCACGACTTTTCCTCGAGGCCCCCTCCCTTCGTCTCGTCTCTCCCTTCTCCTTCCCCCATCTCTTCTTCTGCCACTCTCCTGGAAAAAACACGCCTTCCCCCCTTCCCCACCTTCAATCTTTCCCATTTCTCCGCTATCCTCCTCTCGCACGCTACCCTTTTTGGCCCTTCCGCTCTCGTCACTTACGTTTCCTTTACTACCTGCCCCCCTCGCCCCGCACGTGCCAGTGGCCTGCCCCCCAACTTCTTTGCACACAACGCATTTTAGCTTCGTCTTCCCACGCTTACCTTCCCACTCCATCTCGTATTCCGCGACCCCAACGCACATTTTTCTTCCACAAACGGGCAATCCCACACGACGTCCATCCTCCGCCCCTCCGCTTACGCCTCGCCGCGCGAGTTTACTTTTCCGGCTTGCGCGGCGCGGCGTGTAACAAGCACACCCTGCAAAACCTCCCATTTGCGCCCATTTCTACGCCTACGCCCGCTATCCAAGCTTGATCCCTCCTCCGCCGCGAACACAGTCAACCCTTCATACCGCGCTCTGTATCTCGCCCTCCGCAGCGCGTTTCGTCCAACCCTATTATCGCCTACGTTGCACGCATCATGTCGGACTACAAATACCCCCCGCAGCATCTCCAGGCCCCTATCCAAGCCGACGCCACCCTCGCCTCGCGCATGAACAGCGCGAAAGAGGCCGTCTGGTTTCGGATCGGCGTCCTTCAAAGCGCTATGAATGATCGCGAACGCGCCCTGGACGCCTTTGAACGTGTCCTCAACGTCAACCCCACCAACGTTGGCGCCATGACACAGGCGGGCGCCGTCCTCGCGAAGAAGGAGTGCTACCCGCAAGCCGTTGCCTACTTGCAGCGCGCTACTTCTTCCGATACCACATGCGGTGAGGCCTGGGCCGTTCTGGCCCATTGTTACGTAATGACCGATGATTTGAAAAAGGCTTACGAGGCATATCAAAGCGCACTCACTCATCTGCCGAATCCCAGAGATCCAAATCTTTGGTATGGAATTGGTCTGCTTTACGATCGCTATGGCAGTTTGGATAACGCACTCGAAGCCTTTCTTGCCGTGCTCAACATTTCCCCGGAATTTGAACGAGCCGATGAGGTCTGCTTTTGCATTGGCATTATTTACAAAGAACAGCAAAACTTTGATGAGGCACTCAAATACTTTCAAAAAGTCGTCACCGCTGCAAATCCCCCACCTCCTCTCACTCGCGCTGATGGTTGGTACCAGATCGGCCATGTCAATGAGCTCAAGAGAGATTTCAGTGCCGCATTTGAGATGTACAGAGCCGCCTTGAACGAAAATCCCAAGCATGCAAAGACATTGCAGAACATTGGATGGCTGGAGCATCAACACAACAAGAATTCAACAGAGTCTATCCGTCTTCTCAAAATGTCAGCAGAGCTCGATCAAGGAGACGGCCAGACCTGGTACCTCCTGGGACGAGTTTACATGGCCTTGAGGGAGTTTCGACAAGCTTATGACGCGTATCAGCAAGCCGTCTATCGGGACGGCAAGAATGCTACGTTTTGGTGTTCTATTGGCGTCCTCTACTATCAGATGAACCAGTTTCGCGACGCTTTGGATGCCTATTCCCGTGCCATTCGCCTCAACCCTTACGTGTCCGAGGTTTGGTATGACCTTGGAACCTTGTATGAAAGCTGCGGACAAGACCCCGATGCCATCGACGCGTACCGAAAAGCAGCCGAGCTGGCACCGGAGAATACTCAGATCACTGAGCGTCTCGCTGTCCTAGACAGATCCATGACCCCAGCTGCCGTACAGCAGCAGCAGCAATCAGCTCAAGCCGCTGCTATGGCTGCATCCCAGGCAGGCGGGCAGGCGCAAGGTATGCAAATGGGACAAGGGCAATCTGACATGCACCTCGCCGACCAGGCCCATCTTCAGTCGCACGCGATGATGAATAGACCGATGGCGCCGCTGGGTCCTATGACAAATGCTTTGCAGCAGCAGCAGCAGCACAAGCTTGCTCATCAAGGCCCTCTTCCACCCTCACACCAGATGGCTGCCCATTCGGGAAGCCTGGATCAAGTTGCTGGCGGCCCTCCACAGCACGGTGGTCAAGTCGATATTGCCCCAATTGCGTCTCTTCGCCCGCATGGGCAACCCCAAGGACCGTCAGGTGAGATGCAAAGCCGTGGATTCCCACACGACGCTCGATCATCCTTGCCTGGGCCGCTGCCCAGCATAAACGGAACGGGGGCAGGGAGGCCATCGACGATGATGTCACAGCCACTGCACGCACATCGGCAGTCTAGCGTTCTTCCCCCGCCAAACGCAATGGTTTCGCAGCACGAAGGAGTGCATGGCTTCCACAGATCTGCCCCCTTGCCCCATTCGCAGCTAGCTCCACTGAATAACCATAGTCCATCTCAGGATCCGCACAGACAGGCCCAGATGTCCCATGGTGACCAACAGCAGCACAACCGTCTCCCAGCGTTGGTGAACTCTCAGCCTTTACCGCACAGCCAAGAGCATGGTCCAGTCCCATCACAACCTCAAGTGCAGCCGATGCAGCCTCAGGTACAAACAGCGTCTTCGTCCCATCCTCAGTCGCAAGAGCAGTCAGGACAGGGTCAACCAGGCCCACTTCATGCCCAACCACAAGGCCCGCAGCCGCAACCTCAACCTGTCCATCAACCCCCTTCGCAACCCCAGACAACCGCCCTGCCACACTTCCAGACTCTGCCCCAGATTCAGTCTCTCCCGATGCAGACGCATCCTGATCCGCACATGCGAGTTGAAGGTCAACAACACGCAGGTCCTGGTGCAGCAGATGTACAGCGACGCGAACAGGAGAACGACAGAGGACCATACGGGCGGCCAGGCGTGGGCCCGATGCCGCAGCACCAGTATGAACGCCCGGAAGAATCTCGACTTCCAAAAATTTCGGAACCAGATGCAATGAAGAGACCATCGGGGCCGGAGGATCCTTCGCTTGCTAGAACGCCGTTTAGCGGAACTACTGGTCCCCCGCATCCACTAGGAGGGTCTGGAAGTCAACTTCCTGCACTTCGCGAGCCCGGTGAGAGTGGGCCTCCTTCGGCCCCTGCTCCATCTCGATCAATGTCCATGCACGAGATCACACAGCAGGAGCCACAGCAGGAGCCGCAGCAGGAGCCGCAGATCAGAAGGTTTGACGAGCTGAGGGAGCAAGAGAGACAGCAGAATGACCGTCCTCGCCCTGTGCAGGCAACTGAAGAGGTGCATCAGAATGGGGAAAAGGCACCAGTACAGGCTTCTGAACATCCCGCCGGCGTGAGCTCATTGAGCTCTGGACCTCCTGCACGGAAAGAGCCCTCACCTGAGACCAGGGAAGACGCTAGGCTGTTGTCATCAGTGGCAACTCCGTCATCCGCACCTATCCCCTCTATGGGGGGTGCTGAGAGTCCAAAGTTAAGCCCACCCCCTGCCCATATCCCAGCGTCATCAGCACCTGGTGGTGCAGCACCTGGTGGAGGTGCAGCACCTGATGGAGGTGCACCTCTTCCCTCACTTACATCTCGCCCTCTGACCATCTCTGGATTGTCGCAGGAAGGGAAGGAACCAACCAACTCATCAGAGACGCATGGGGCGTCAGTGCCCGCCTCCTCATTGACTAAGTTTGGAAAGGGGTTTACACGTACTCCAGCGACCCCAGTGAATAACTCTGTTACACCATCATCACTGCCGTCTCCTCTTCCAGCTAGAAAAGGACCAAGCGTCCCAGGAGTCGTGCATGCAGCAAGATCCCCACGGTTATCCAAACCGTCTAACCCCTCGGTATTCAAGTCTGTACCAGTCCCTCCGCCCAGTAGTACAGCCCAAATTGAATCGGTCCCATCGCCGTCTTCACTTCCAGTACTTCCAGCGATAGCGTCACATCCGTCAAATGGAGAGGCCGAAAAAGTTTCTTCGAAAGACAAAATCATGGAACCAGATATGGGACGGGATGACGGGGAGCGCAAGCTTGATGCTAGACCGCGAGATCAGGCTACTGACGACAGGGGCGGGCGAGATATGCTAAGCATGAGGAAAAGCGATGAGGTTGTCGGAAGCAAGCCCCTATATGGAATCTTGCGGTCGGCTCCAGCACCACGAACTGTTGAAACTGATAGAAGTAAGGAGGATAAGGTGAAATCACCTAATCGGTCAACCCTAAGGAATGATTCAGAAAACATCGGGACATTGAAGCGGGACCATGCGTCAAGAGAAGAAAGTGGAAGAACGGCTAAGCGCCCGAGACTACACCAAGAGGGGAATGACTCAGACCACAACATGTCCTACAATCATGATGGAGAGAACAAACAAAGAAGCGTCACACACACCGAAAGCGAGCGGAGCAAAGATGACGAGGGGTCGAGAAAGGCATCCGCATCTTGCAAACCTGACATTCCATCTGTGAAAGACGCGAAAACGGATTTGAGGGGACCGAACAACTCGCAAAGTTCGGATCCAGAGAAAAAGTCGAAACGCGAGAGTCCATCGAAGGCGGGAGAAGAAGGTCCAAAGAATTTAGGAATGGGCTCACAAGTCATTGATTTGCCAAGGCTGTCGAAACCGGTATCGAAATTGGCAAGTCCTCCTTCATTGCCTGGAAACACACCTTTGCCGTCATTTCGAGCTGAGCGAAAGAATTTAACGGCCTCAAGAGGTAGCTCCGGTTCGGCGGTTGGCGGGAAGTCTGGAAATGCTGAGGGCCCCCCCAGATTTCCTATTCGATCAGCTCCGATAACGCCTTTGCCTTCGCAATTGAAATCGCAGGTACCTCCTTCCAGCATGGGAGCAAGCGATGCCCAAGACAGCGGCAAGGCGGACAGTTCGAGCGCAAAGCGACTGAGCGAAGAGAGGCCAAGTACTGCTGAGCAAAGCGGAAATAATTCAAGAGAAGAAGGTGCGGGATCAATTGCTAATGGGGATGCGCAGAAATCCAGCGGTGGGTTGATAGAGCAAGAGCAACGCAATGCGACTGAGGCGAAAGCAAAAGATGATAAGCCGGCAAGTAGACCAGAAATACACAGCAGTGCTACGTAGTGGATTTAAGGAGCTTTTGTTGGCGATGTCGAGATGTACAGGCTACGACCGTTTTGCTAGTAGCGGAGTTGCAATTGAAGTGTAAACGGGAGCGTTTGAAAAGCGCAGAAGTATGCAGGAGCACTTTGAGTCGTGCTGTCCAGGATTATATTATGTTGATGGTACTCTGTTACAGTCGACGAGCTTGGTAGCGCAAAGCGTAACCTGTGGCGAGGCAGTGGTCATGTGTAGCTCTTCTGCTGCGGCTGAAGTTCTTAGACTACGCACCAGATGTTCGAGATCAGCAAGGCGACTGGGCCGCCGTCAAAAGACTACAAAACTGTTCGCTACTGGTCAGTTTGAAAAAGGCGCGTTTGGCTCCACCATGAAGTGCGTTTAGATGTACTCAGCCAGACGCCTGAAAGCCTCTTCTAAGGACTCTTTGTTCGAAGACGTCAGCATTTCTGGGAAATCTGGGGGAAAAACACAAGTACTGGCTCTAGAACAGTATGGCTCGCCTAAACTCATCAGGTTCATTGGGCACGACAAACCTGCAGAGCCACATGCACGTGGCCCATCCTTCATTTAATTTACATCTTCTGTGGAGACTCTGCCAGACGCGCGACTGCCCGCGAAACGTCACTTTACTGTAGATGTTATGTCGTGGTTATTGTGATTTGTGATCATAGCGATCAAAGATGCATGTCCTCCGTGGAAGAGGCATTCCGCTCTTTCCGCTCCGTAACGGATTGGCGCACAAGCACAACTGCGTCTCCCGTATATGCAGAGCATACTATGCAACGACATGTACACGTGTACACGCTTGATGATCAAACGGGTTTCTGGGATTCTGTCCTCGGAGCTTTGTGATCCCGATCTCGACTGTGGGGTCATAAGGTATCGAACAGCCAGGACCGATGCATCATAGGAGCAAAGAATAATTCCTGCTCCACCACTTCTGTCCTCTTCTATCCCGGGACAGAGTTGTTCTTTTCTTCGTTTCCCGAAGTCCACAACAGCAGCGGCACTGCTTGCTCGTCTTCACTGCGTATCTTATCTTTTACTGCCCCTTGAGTCTCTCTCACACTCTTTTATTCGAGAGCAAAGGCAGAGTATCAAAGCGTCTCTGCCATAGTTCACAGCAGCGCAACGTCAGGCACCTATCGCCGGTGCATTTGAACTCAAGCGAAAGTCTCCACCGAAAGGGCCTAGAGACGCATCCCTCAAGCACCATGTCGCCGCCAACTGCCTTCTGTGCCGCTCCTTTCCGGACAACCACCCCAAAACGACAACTTCTACCCTGTACCATCGTGAAAGCACCACGACCAAGGGCAATCCGCGCCTGTCAAAACCCCTCCCAAAAACCCGTGGAATGCACGAGCACTTCCGCTCACATCCCACGGAGACAGCTGCTCTCTCTAACCGCCGCACTAACCGGTATGGTTCTGCTCCCACCGCACGCACAAGCCCTGAGCAAAAAGCGCATCCTCGCCAAGGCCGGGCCGCCCGTGACCCTCCCCTCTGGCATAACGTATCGCGACATCAGTATTGGCAAGGGTTATACACCCCGCCCGGGCGACTCTGTTGCCATTCACTACTCTTTGTTTTTTAAGGATCTGGAAGTGGAAAGCAGCCGAGAGAGCCAGGGCTTAGCAGCTAGTCCTGTCGGGTTTACATTTGGCGCGACCTCGGGGCCGGGCAGCATTATGAGGGGAATTAGTGAAGGGATGGATGGCATGAAGGTGGGGGGTTTGAGGTTGATGACTGTGCCGCCAGAGTTAGCATTCGGACAGAAAGGCAGGATGCCCCTGATTCCTAGTAACGCGACTGTGGATTTTGCCGTGTCATTGCTAAGTTGTAAGAAGGCGGGCACTAATCCCATTAGTGTCATTGATCCCAAGGCGCAAGTGTACTAATGAGAGCTTGTCACCCTTTGTATAGATGGATTTGTTGTTGGAAAATGGAAGTCGGGACCGAACGGTTGCGCGGGTACATATGTTGCGCAAGGAGTCTCTGGTGTCCGGCGGCTGCATTTCGACAGATGCTCTTTTTTATTTTGAATACGTAAGCAGCAACAGAGCTCGAGCTGTAATATTCTCCCACCACGATGTAGATACTCGCTAGAGAATTATAATTTCGCTTCAACCACGTCCACAGTCTTGCCTCAAAGCATATTATCCGGATATCTTGCTCTTTTTTTTTTTTTTTTTGGTTCACATGAGTGATTGTCCCTTCTTCAGTACTGCTGTGTATATCGATAGTGTTCTTGTGAGATTATCAGAGGATGCTCTCGACAAGACATAGTTGGTTGCCTTATTATGCTGACAATGACCGGTTGGGTCTATGGTTCCATGAAATGGTGACAGTTGCTCTACGGTCCTTGTCCGCTGGCCACGACTAAATGCATTTTCTAGAGCAGCCCGAGAGTAAGCACAGGAACGCCCTACTTGTTCACGCGTGATGTATGTGAAGAGCAGTATAGCTCGAAGGGTATTCTACATAGTCCATCCCTTTTGAAGTTGTGGGGATCAATTTCATCTCAGCGGGATTTCACCCGCATCTGCACCGCCTACTTTTGTGAAAAGATTATTCATAACGTTAAGTGCGCGCTAAGAGTGACTAATGGGACCCCTAAAGACTCCAGTCTCAAGTAGCAAGCGCCGTCGCTCATCTCAGAAGACTGGACGGCGTTTCTCAACAAAGAAAGAATTGAAGAAGAATGATTCTTTGCCCCATCCAGCGGTTTACCCTCGAAAGGCGAAGAGGGTGCAGAATGCTATGCGAGGAATGGCCGTGGTAGCCTTGTTTTTCATCTTTCTTTCTACCATGTTTTCATGGCGATCAAGAACTGCAAAAAGAACGGTTTCGTATGTATCAGGAAGAAATGCGAATTTTGGCGGACCTAAGACGTCTCGCTTCTCTTTTAGTTTTCGTCGTTGGCAGTCGGCGAAGGCACAAGCAAATGAGAGCAGGACATTGAAGTATGACTCCCGTGATGATGAGGGCGGGGCTACGAAAGAATCTGCCGAAACGGCAAATCGCACGACCATAGCAGAGATCGATGCGGAGAGGGATGAAACCGAGCATGATAAAATCCATGGTGAGACAAGAGCAAGTGGTACAAGTTCTATTGGGAGCACGAGTTCAAACGCCCAGGCGTTGAATCTTTCTGCCGAAACTTCGGATGAGAGCCAAACAGAAGATAAACCCGCAGTATTTGAGGAGCTACCTGAACGAATTGAATGGTATAGCAGAGGCGACTACAAGGACGGGACAAGGCCGATGTGTCGCATAAGCAAGCCATACATCCTCAGCAATGGCACAATCCTCGTCCCAAACTGGATGCGAGATTATGAAAAGCTTTTAAAACGCTGCGGCTTGGGTACGCACTCCTATTACTCTTCACAGAAAGGACCTGAGGGACTGGCAAGTATTCAGGATGTTGGAGCAGATTTTGTGTTAACAATTCATCCTGAGCGTTTCCAGGAACCGACCCACGTAGCCTCCGTGTACTTGACCGAGCATATTCTGAAGTCAAGCTACCTTTTCGATGTATTCGGTGGAGATGCACAGTTTGTTGAAGAGGTGAAAGAGCATCACTGCTACACGTCCGAGAAGGATTCCACATGCGCCTTGCCTCGACCTGTTCATACGATCTTAAAACCTGCTATCTTTGTTCCCAAACGTATTGAAAATGGCCCAAATGCCTTATGGTCTAAACAGCTCCTGGATATGCTTGGAAAGGCACATGGACACGGACAAGATCTCATACATTTGAATGCATCTACTGTTCTCCTCAAGGAGCACAAGGGAGAATTAGAAAACCTGATTGGAACTGGCTTCCGTTCAATCATGACAACTGATGGTATGTTTAGACATTTGCCGACGAATGGGTTGCAACATTCAAATATGTACTCTCTCAAGAACAGAATTGACAAGAGTCCGAAAGAACGGGAAGTGAATGGAGCGTGTGCAATCACAATTGGAATAGCAAGCTCTCATGATCGAGACGGCGGGATTCAAGGTGTAGACGACTTACGAGAGAAAATCGAAGCAGTGAGCAAACTCGCTATCCCCGGCTCGGCAATAGAAGCGAAGACAATAATCTTCTCTTCCGTAGGCAGTCTCCAGGATCACATCAAAGAAATGCAGCAACTTGACATTTTCGTTGGAGGCAGCGGAGATGAGATGAGTAGTATGGGTTTTTTGCGTTCCAAGAGTGTTGCAATCGAACTAATGCCATTCGGGATTAAACCAAATACTCATGAAAGCATGGCTCGTGTGCTGGGAATTGGATACAACAACATTAGAGGTAAGCCGCAAGACTCCTTTAAGAACTGCCTTGAGGGTGAAATTTTTAACTTGCGCAAAAAAGGAACGCTGTCCTACACAGAGCTGCCAGACTGGGAGGAACCAACGGTCAAGGCATGGGATGCGGCCGTAGGTGAATTCGTTTTATCTGGGTCCTCAGCCTTCGATGTTCTCACGGCTCAACGTCCTGTCAATAATTATTACGCCAGAGTTTGTGCACAGAAACAAAATATTGAAGTCGCAATCGATGACACTGCCAGGAAAATTGCCGCCATGGCCAAGGAGAAATGTACCGGGAGATGATCTGCCGTGAAGCTGCCCCCTACCTTTTAGGCTGCAAACACTGTATACGTCATAGGGCTACGAAAGGCTACGAAAGAGTTCACCGGCAGTGATAGCATTGTTCGTGAACGAGATGCGTCCGCGTTACCATCTCCTGAGTAATGTAGATACCATGTTAAATCCATCCAGAATGCCACCCCTTCTAGCCTCATCAGTCTCATCTCCGCGAATCTTTGTGTACAAGACACGCCAGCCACCAACGATAGCAAAAGTTGATACCAAAGTGACAACGGCGAAAACAGCTGGTGGAACGTGGTCCGTCAATACACCTGAATAAAATTGTTCACAAAACAGTCAGATCATTGTTCACGTTTGCTAGAGCAAGGGTCCAACACGAATCGTAGTACTGATATATTATCAAAATTAGAAAACTTACCTCGCAACCCAATTCCCATCGGCACAGCAATAGCCCATGACTTTGCAAAGGTCTTAACAGTTGCCGCGACATTGGCGGTTGCAGCTCTGGTATAGGCCCCGAGCAATGGGGATGTTGCCAACCATGCCACAATAAAAGGAGTTGCTGTCTGCACAACGCCAAAATTCAAGCTTTTATCGCCATGAGAGGCCTTTCCAATGTATGCAAAGAGAAGAAAAGCGGCAGTGTCTCCCAAGGCAAGATCTAGTCTTTTCCCCAAGTCACTGTAGTTTGAGGTTCCAGAGCTACCTGGGGTGTCTACACCTGCCTGTCCGCTCCAATTGACATCTTCATTAGTAAGAACTCCCTTCTCGTATGCTTCTTCGGCCCTTCTCACAAACTCTGCGACGGGAATTCCGACAGTGCTGTCGGGATTTGATTTTGTTTCAGTGTTTGACTTTACACCAGGACTTGACGGGGTGATATCGTCGTCGTCATCGTCATTCTTTTCGGTCATCGAACTATCCACAATTGACGCAATGTCACTGAAGACATCAGCTTTGTCCCGATTTCCATCAATTTTGCGGAGTGTAGACTCGTAGTGGTCTGCAATGGAACGAGCATGCTTGTAATAGCTTTCGAGACGAACGCGGGCTTTTTCTTCGGTGTCATCAGAGCGCTGAGTAAGTCTGTTGAGCACTTCTGGGTCTGAGGGCGGACTGAATTTGATGTGATAGATTTTCCCGGTCTGCGGGTCAGATCTGCGACCGACAACCCGTTCCAAAAGAACATCGTCTTTGACCTCTAACACAATGACCGCATCTGGGAGAATTTTGGCTTCCGTAAGCGCCTCTGCTTGCACCGCAGTTCTCGGAAATCCGTCTAAGAGCCATCCTTTTTTCGCGCAGTCGTCCTCAGCAATGCGTTCTTTTAGCATTGATATCACGAGATCATCCGGAACGAGGCTTCCAGAATCCATATATGACTTTGCCTCGACACCCAAGGCGGTGTTATTTTTGACTGCTGCTCGCAGCATGTCGCCAGTAGAAATGTGGACAACACCGTACTTATTCACAATATACTCGCATTGCGTACCTTTTCCTGAAGCAGGAGCGCCAGATATCAGGATATGGGGTGGTGGTGGATTGGCAACAGAGGCCGAGGCGAGAAGTGGAGCTCGAATGACGCGTGGTTGGAGTGGAGACGCTCGCAGGGAGTTTGACCAGGCTGGTGAGGTTGATTGGCGAAATGAACTTGGGATGAAGGACGATAGTCGACGCGGTTTGCGACAGACCAAAGCATCTGAGCTGGACACGGTTGATGCATTGAAAATCGGTTGAGGTACTAAAAATGCCATGCTAAACACGTTTCTGAACCAAAGCGCGAAGGGGAGCTAAGCAATGACGAAAAAAGAAGGCTCTTCGTACAAATAATGTAGGTAAGAAGCTTGAAATGTGGGCAGGCGTTGCAGAACAAACTAAAGCGTCAGCATCACACGCACGTCTCGTTGTGGAGATCTCCAATACTTTTTGGTCGCAGGACGATTTAGTTCGGAAACGTTTAAGCCCCGCAGGTGGCCCAGGCATTCGGAGAGGAGTCCTTTTCCCTCTGAGATCAAGACCTGGCGTATCTTTAATCTTATTTGCACTGTAAATTTCTGCTTGCATCTTCTGGTTTTAACCAATGGCAGACTTCTGAGTTGCTTTCATTGCTTGCTTTCACCAAGTGTCGCCATGTAATTCGATAAAAATATGCTTGGTATTCATACATACTCTCCAAATCATTTGTGGTCAAGGTCCTACTCGTTGGCTCCCTGAAGCATAGCAGGTAAAGAGGCTGGAAAGAGGGCAACGGCACCCTGCTCGGTTTGCTTTTACCACTTCTGGCCCTCTATCGGACGAGCCAGCACGTCACTACACCCGCACCTGCGCAAGCTCTGGAGGCTTGCAATAGTGAGGACTTGTTGGACAATAATATGTGAAGTGAGGGGTAGTCGGGCTTGGCTTCTCATCTCGGCTAACCGTCCCGTTCACCTTCCCCGTCGACATTATTTGTTTGTGCAACAAGATAATCCTTCATTAACCGGTGCCTTTAAGTCCCCCGCACTGGCCACATCATCAACTTTGTTCTCCGAGGTAGCTTTTTTTTTGTTAATCTCATGTTTCGAGGATAGTCATGCGCTAGGTCTCGACGGTATGTAATAGACGAGCGAGAAGCAAGCTATTATTCTCTACAAACGACTCGCGCACGGTTGCTACTTGTACAATGCAGTCTGATCACGATACTGAACAGTGCAGTCAAATCGCTCTTTCCTCTTCGCACATGCCCATTCGCAATCTTCAGAACAACAATTGCGAACGAACCAAATCACCTGGAGACGACATTGATGTTCTATTGAACCAAGCTGCACACCTTTCGTCAACTCGAGTGTCCCCAAACAAACCACTATCCAACTCTAGAGGGCGGAAACGGAAGCTTTTACATGTTGACCTTACTTTGGAGGCGGAGGATGACGCACGTACACCCACATCCCGACCTCACCACCGCTTATCAGCTGACGTCGGGAAAGGCGAATGTATTTTACTGTCTTCTCAAGACAGGATGCAGGATGGTCAAAGAGGAGAAACGCCAGTCAGCGTCAAACGAGAGGCGCATGTCGAGAACTGCCACAGCATAGCTCTCGGCGAAACTCGTTCGAAAGAAATAGACCCTTCCTCTGATACTCTCAGACAGACTGAGTGCGAGAGCCCACCCTCAAGACCCGAACAGGTGCGCTCTAGAGCACGACGGAGGTTATTTGGAGTTGAACTGGAGTGGCACACGCAGAACGACAAGCCTCGTTCAGAGGTTGATATCCCGTGCATTGAACTCGACTCAACTGAGATGCCAGAGGAGTTCGTCATTCCACCACCCCCATCACTCTCGTCTGAAGACTTTGAGGAGGATGAGGGTATGGAGCAAGGGTCAACCTCTTGTAGGGCGTTGGCCAGGACTCCGGTCGCCGCTGAACAGCCGATAACACAAGACATGAAGAAAAATGGCCCGGAGCGGCGACCGTGGGTAACAGATAGTCATCAAGTGCCAGAAGCTTCCCAAGACAGCGCCTGCTTTTCTTACACGAAAGAGGCGAAGTTAATTGAAAGCAAAGAGCTTATTTTGCAGGATGACACTGGTAGAGGCAAAAGTGAGCCATTTGAGGCGACCGATGACTCTCCGCTCCGAGCGAGAGATCCTTACTATTCCCAGGCATTTGACTACGTCTTGAAAGAGGTCGTGGCCAGGTATTCGGATGTTCTTCGTCCGCATGAAGTTCATCTAGCAAAATCGATGAGGAAAGAGCTATCTCGAGATGGCTTGGCTCTCTTCGTTCGAATCTATAGGCGCAAGCAGCCAAAGTGGTACTCAATTTCGGGATTACGAGATTCTTACGGAACAGATATTGATGTAGATGCAGGTGCGGTTGAATTGTTCCAGCACGGATATGTCGCTTCAAGTATTCACGATGTAAACAAAAGCAAGGAAAGAATGCGTTCTACTGCACAAGAGCTTTTGGAAAACCTTTGGCAGGAAGACTTGAAAGCAGTTTCGGCAGCAATTGCTGATTCAAAAGTGCTAAAGAAGATGAGAAAGCGAGAATTGCTGCCTGCCCTTCGAGCGGTTCTCTCTGAAGAAGGAGGTCGTGCAGAACGCAAGAGAAAGCTTAAGCAAATGACGCTTAGTGGATTTTCTGAAGCAGACTGCTTGTCGAGAGCAATCATTAAGAGGGCTGGGTATTCTATCAAGATCCCTGAAGATGTCCTGGAGCAGCTACAGCGCGTACATTCCCTTTTCTTTTTGGAGGCTGGTCATGATTCTTCAAGAGTACTGCTGGCACGGGCTGGAAAGGTACGGTTCCCAGACTATGAATGCCGAGGCAGAGGAAGAGTGTTTCCATCATCTGTGGCGTTTGAGGATTATGAAGCAGCGATTATAGTGGAGAAGAATTTGAACCGCGCAATTGAGGAAAGGGATTTATTGCAAGTTGCACACTTTGGAAGCATAGCAGAAGTAGCCATCATTGAAAACCACAAAGATTCACAACTAGTGGCGGGATGGGCCAAAAACAGTAGTCGATCGGGCGCCTCAAAACGCCATTCGCAACCGTATTCTTCGTCATGCAGCCCTATGGCGGGGTCAGCTCGGACTCTGCGAACGAAGAACTCCTTCAGAGAAGATATTCGCAAGCAACTGCAACACCCTTTCTTCAGGCGTTACACTGCTCAATGGGTATACGTCCGAACTGCTTGGCATTCTGTTCGTGCATTGGAAGAACTCGGAGAACACGGGGGTGCAGTTCAGAGATTGAAGCTCTTGCTTTCAACAGGATTAGTGCCCAAGAGACGAGGAGCTTGCATGAATCGACTCACGATCAATCTGTACAGGCACCTCGGAAGACTACAAGAGGCTCTCGATTTAATCTTAACTACTTTGGAAGAGGGAGGGACTCCTCTACGCTTAGGAGATCGCCTTGCTCTCGTGCACCGAGGCATTGCCATACATCGAAAGCTGGGACGTGCCTATATAGAGGAGAACTTAAAGCATTCGCTTAAGAGTAAGTCTGATCGGAAACGAAAAGCTGACGAAGCTGTCAATAAGAGCAGGCCACTAATTTTGGATCAAATGCTAGCACGATATCGGGCAAAACCGAGGTTTCGCAAAATATACGGCGTATCTATGCAAATTGCAAACAGAGAGCGCGAACGGAGCTCTCAACAGAGGCGAAGCGATCCGTGGGACCGTTTTCGGATGGACGGTAGCAGGGATTCTATTGAAGGCGATCAAGAACTCACCATCTCGGTCATGGGGAAGTCCAAATACAAAAGCCAAGGGTCCAGTCAGGACTTGTCCTCAGTTGAAAACTACTGTTTAGAATGGTACCTCGGGAAAGAAGGATGGTCTGGTGTTCATGACGAAGGAGGTTCGCTTCGATTTCTATACGCTCTGCTGTTTTGGGAGTGCGCATTATTTGCTCCTGTTGAGGACGTCTTTCAGACCCCATATCAAGACTACCCTTTGGACCTTTTTACGGAAGCGTTCTACGGCTCTCGACGTGAGCAAATTGATGAGCGAGTGCAATATATATCAAGTTCAGATCCCAAGGATCTTCGCGTTGAGGTAGAGCAGTTGTATGAAAAGTATGATTCCGTCATGGCGATTGGGTGTGCATGGAAAATGTACACTGCAGAGGACCTCGCTGACATCGCCGCCGGTCTTGGAGGCCCTGTATTGTCTCATTGCTGTAGACTTTTGTCCGTAGACTATGCCTACTGGAGTAGTGGGCTTCCCGATCTGACCTTGTGGAAATCAAATGGCTTTCAAGAGAAAGAGACGTTTAGCACTCGGCTCGTCGAGGTAAAGAGTCCTCGGGATGCCCTGTCGGAGAAGCAAAAGGCATGGCTGATAGAATTACAGAACGCTGATGGAGACTGCGAAGTGTGCAAGGTCGTGGAGAGGGTGACTGCGAAGAATGCTCCGGAGCTGCAGTCAGCTGCGTTAAACTCTATAGAGAAAGAGATAATCGACAGTGCGGGCGATGGCGCAACGACCTGGTGAGAAAATATACCGTCACCTCGAGCTTTAGTAAGCAAGTGCACATCTCACATGGCAGGACACCTACGAGTAATGGGATTATGTGATCATTTGAAAAATAGCACTACCGCGATTGTCTATTCAAAATCACTATCGTCGTCTGCGCAGCCCTCAAAATCGTCATCAGAACACAGAAAATCATCGTCCTCCTCGCCAGAGGATTCTGATTCACTGAAAACGACTTTTTTCTTCGTTGCGCGTTGGCGTCTCGGACGAGTCTCAACTTCGACGGTGCCTACGTCGCCGCCCTCTGTCAGATCTTCACTGCCCCGAGCGCTCGTTGTTGGCCGCTTTGAGTTTTTTCGAGCTTGTGGACTGCGGACACGGGTCTTCTTCTGTTGTGGAGATGGAGATGGTGAAAATACCGAACCCTCTCCCACGCTTTTCTTCGGCGCAGGTTCGCGGGACCTCTTTGTGAAACCAGCGCGGCTAGGCCTTTGTTTCGGAACCGGGTTATTGGAAGGCGTCTTGGCCTTTCCACTTTTCTTTGGTGCATCATCAGAGACGGTTAGCCTTTTCGCCAACCGTTGACTCAATGAGAGCGATTCGTCCTCATCGCTATCGACAGAAAAGTCAAGACCGACATTGTTTGCTGTTGACCTGTTCTCTTTCATAGTCGATTTATCATCGTCTTCAGAAGTTGAGATATCGATTACGTCACGCTTGCTCGTCTTTGTGCGAGTAGTTCTCACTGTGCGTTTGGCTTTAGGTTGGGTCTCAAACATGTCATCCTCAGACAAATCATCAGGGATGTCCGCTGCGCGCTTAGCAGACCTTTTCTGTGGCCTTCTTGTCTTTGGCAGAGAAGGTTTTCTTACCTCGTCGTCGTCAAGTGCCACGTCGTCCATTAAATGAACAATGTCCTCCTCATCGTCGGATTCCTCGGACGAGCTGTCCCGCAATGAAATTATGTCGACCATATCATCATCAGGACTGTCCTTTGCATTCTTCTTTCTCGCAGCTGTGTTGGAGCCTCTAACGATACTCTTCTTTTCTTCAGCAGTCGTTTTCCGTGCTCTGACCTTCTTCAAAGCTGCACTTCTCGCATTTGGCAACGGCACGACTTCTAAATCGCCAATGATAGTTTCATCATACTTTTTGGCACCTTTCCTGCCTCGCCCTTTCTGCTGACGTGCATGGGCTACTTTCGCAACCCTCTCAAGATCCTTCGCCATCACCGCGGTCTCCTTCTCTTCTCGAACGATAGCTTCTTCTAGCCTACACAAATCCGCCTCCCATATATCTTCTACGGTAACTTCTTCCATTGCATCCTTTTCTGCCTTGGTCTTGTTGCGCTGGTCAGCAAGATTGGCAACTCTTTCAGCGGTTAAAGACCATAGTGGCATGGAAAGCAAGTAGTCGTACCTTTTGTCCCCAGATTGCGGACTATTATCGTTCTCTTCACTATCACTGGCCGGAGTATCTGCTGGAGAGCCTTTCTTCGCTTTACCCGTGTGGATAGGGTCGAACTTCAGTCGCACCAGATCTGCAAGCAGCTGATCCTTTCTGCGTTTGGCGACCTTCAATTTGTCGTCGATCACCAAAAGGATAAAGCGCTGTTTGTTGTCTAGACAGAGAAGCTTTTGTTCAAGCTCTTTCAATAGATGAAGGCGCCTATCTTCATAAAGGGCATACCGCGTCTCAAAGAATTCCTGAAGAATTTCTTCAGGATTCTCGTATTTTCGCAAGCGCCCATCCTTGTTAAAAAGGACCATGTTGCTCGTTGTTACGGAGCTTGTCAGTTTGAGCTTTTTGTAGCCTTCTGATGATGAAAGAGTCCTGCTAACAGCTGGAGTCGTCATGAGGGTGAAGTTGACAGTGTTCTCAGTGCTGTTGTCATGGAAGTCTTTCAGAAATGGAGAATCTCCCTCAGAGCTCCCGATCAAAACGGACTCAAGGAAATCCTTGTATGCCGATGTCCATGCCTTAATGGGGAGTTCTTCAACTTTGAATACATTTTCCTCTGATGATTTTCGCAAAGTCCCGTAAATATCGTAGGATTTTGAGTTTTGAACTGGTACAATAGAACCATTGAATCCACGGTACCATGGCATCATTGGTTCCATCCGGTTTCCTGCAAGTAATCTTCGTATGTTTGCTATCAGTTCCCTTGGGTTATAGCACGGCACGGACGAAGACCAACCAGTACCAATTCCTTCTGATCCGTTTACCAGGACTGTCGGAATGATTGGGCAGTACCACTTCGGTTCGATTACCTTGTCCTCATCGACAAGATAGGACAAAACGGCATCATCTGCTTCAGGGAACATGGCTCGAGCAATCGGGGCTAGTTTTGTGCAGATGTACCGAGCGCTCGCAGCATCTTTTCCACCTGTTAGTCTGGTACCGAACTGACCCGCCGGAACCAAAAAATTAAGGTTGTTGGACCCCACGAAATTTTGCCCCAGCCCAACGATTGTTGATTGCAAAGATACATCTCCGTGGCGATAAGCAGTCTGTTCAGATATATAGCCTGCAAGTTGGACTACCTTCAGCTCTTTCTTCGTGAGCTTCCTCTTAAAGCAGCCAAACATAACCTTTCGTTGTGATGGCTTGAAACCGTCAACGACACACGGAATTGATCGTTCATTGTCGTACACGGAGAAAAGAATCAATTCTTTGTTCACAAAATTTGCGTAGTTCAGCTCATCAACTCCGTGATGAAAATACGTCCCAGGAGCATACGACGCAATCCAGTCTTTCCGATCATTCACACGTTGCTTGCTGAACGCCAACTCGATCATGTCTGTGTCATTCACCCCTGTGTGTTTGAATTCATGCAAATGTGTCGGGAGATCCGAAAAATATGACTTCGCATCTGCAGACGTTGAAGTTCCCAAACCCTTGAAATACTTGCCTTCCCATCCAGCTGATTCTGAACTCTCGCAAAATGTTTCGTATTCGGGTATAGTGAAGAAGACCTTTTTCTTCTGTCCTTTGGTGCACTGCACGATTGGGGTAATTAATTCCTGTAAGAAGCCATCTATCTGCAGAAGACCCGGCCAGAAGTGATCGAAGAAGTTGATGATGAGACCCTTAATGTGAGAGCCGTCATGGTCTTGATCTGCCATGATCAGGACGTGACCATAGCGAAGAGACTTCATGGTTTCTTTGCAGTATTTTTTATTGTGCTGCAGACCAAGGATTTTCTTGAGGTTGTTGATCTCCTTGTTGTCCATGATTTGTTTATGCTTGGCTTCTCGCACATTCAGCATCTTTCCACGTAACGGATAGACACCGTAGTAGTCCCTCCCAACTACAGAGAGTCCTGAGAAGGCTGTGGCCATAGCCGAATCTCCCTCTGTTAAAACGAGCGTGCATTTTGAACCCTCACGTGTACCTGCTCTATTCGCGTCGTAGAATTTTGTGATTCCGGTAAGCCTCACTCGCTTGCCTCCATCCGTTTTCGCGAGTTCCTTTGATTCCTTGAACTTAGCAAAGGCGAGAACGTTTTCAATGATTTCACTGTTCATGACCTTCTTCGTGAGATCAGCAGAAAGAGACCATTTCGAGCCAAACTTACTCGGCTTAGTCGTCAGCGTTTCCTTTGTTTGTGAATCAAACGATGGGTTCTCAATGAGGCAGTTGATGTACAAGGACAACTGACTCTTAATCTGAAAGGGTTTGACTTTAGTACCCTTGTTTTTCTTAGCAATATGCTCGGCAACTTTGGACACGATTTGGTCGGCGACATGGGTCACGTGAGTTCCGCCCTTGATAGTCCAGATCGAATTGACAAAACTAAGTTGTGTGAGTTGTCCCTCACTTGCTGTGATGGCCACCTCCCATCGGTCGCTGATTCTTTCGTACATCACAGTGCTGGGACCACCCTTGTCGTTATACAAGGCGACATAATCCTTGAAAGACTTGACCGGAATCTTCTTGCCGTTGAGGTAGACTTTGAGATTAGAGCTAATACCGGCGATGTCATACACTCTCTTCTTCATGAGAGAGACAATATCGTCGTCTAGATGGGTCATGCCAAAGCGAGTGAGATCTGGGGAGAAGGAAATTTTGGTGTAGGCTTCCTTTTTGCCGTTCGATTTGATGCTGGGTTTATCCTTTTCGCTCATGTTTTTACGAAAGACTTGCTTGTATTTCTTCCCACGCTGGGCATCTGCAGTCTCCACAGTGAACTCGTTAGAGAAAATGTTTGCAAGTTTGGCCCCAAATCCATTACGACCACCGACGACCTTTTTCTCGTCATCATCGTAGTTGGAAGAAGTTAATAGGTTTCCGAAGATAAGCTCTGGGACATAGATCTTCTCCTTCTGATGAATTTCCACTGGAATACCAGCACCGTTGTTCCAGACAGAAATGAGTTGATTCTCGGTGTCAATCTCGACTTTAATCGTGTTCATAGAGGGGTCTCGTTGTTTGTGGTCTGCAGCATTGACAAGAATCTCATCGAAAATCTTGTATAGGCCAGGAGGGAAGGTAATCTCCCTTTGTTCCATGCGGCCTTTTGAGTCATTCCAAACCCAAACTTGCTGCTGAACACGCTCGGCTGAACCAATGTAAGTGTCTGGGCGAAGAAGGACATGCTCAAGTTGGGATAACTTTGAATATGTTTCCTCAATAGTCTTCCCAGACTTAGTTCGTGAAGAGGCAGACGGGCGAAAAGGGGAGTTGAGGTCGATGTCGAAGTTAGAGGCGTTGGACTCCCGTAGCGCCATCCTGAATAGCTGGGAGGGTTTGGAAGCCCTGTCTTCGAGAGTTTGAAGCTTTGAACGATGCCGTGCTGACACGGAAGGAGGGCTGGGCTATCTTGCTACTGAAGTCGCTTTCAAAGAAGACCTTCGAGAACACTGAAGACGAAAGCGCTGGCTGCTGAGAAGGAAAGAAAGCACTGAAATGAATGAAGTGAAATAATGGTTGATGGATCTAACACAGGCGGGGGCTTAAAGCGAAATCAAGGGAACAATAGGCATCTGAAACGAAAGGTGGGAAGTCGGTATTTCAAACTACGAAAGATGATTGGTGTATTCAAAGAGGAGCAGTATGAGGGGGGAAATTTAAATTTAAGGATTTCAAATGGTCAGAACGAGGCGGATTTGACTGTAAGCCTCATATGATATGCTTCTGCCCTTTCTGTTAAGGGCAAAGCATGGGATGTCTGTGAGAGTGGACTGTGCAATTGCGGAGTGTGCCGTAGGATGGAAGGGGTGGAAAGCAGAAGAGAATTGCTTAATTTAAGGAAAAAATGAAGGGCTAGTGAACAGCTGGCAAAACACGTGTCCGTTTCAGCATGGTGCCTGCGGTGTTTTCGGCGACATGGACCAGAAGAACTGGGGGGAGGTTCTGAAGGGGTCAAAATATGGCTACTTCCCGAAACTGGGGCAACATGTTTGCCATCACTGCGCAAAAATATGGACCTAACGGGCCGATAAGTAGCCTCTGTGCGGGGCACAGATAGGGTCGAAACGGTTGTGGGGCATGGCGCTCGACCCCCTCGGAATGTTTGGGGCACTGCCGCCAAACCGGCTGGCGCGGCGCTTTCGCTGAAACACGCCGTCATCGCCTGACGCCCTCGCCCGCTGAGCTTCCCTCCCATACTTTGCCCGTATTAGACTGCTCCCCGCCGTCGGCCGATTCGGTAGAGATCACCTCATCGTCTATTGTTTCCTTTCTCCCGTCTCCGTCGACTTCTCGCCTTTCCCCCCTCCAACATCATGTCTGAGCACGACTCCGGCTCCTCCGGTGCCTCCAACACCGTCCCCGTTCAGGCAGGTATGTTTCTCGTCTCGAAAGACGTTCTCATATCTGTTTTTCTTTTTTTTCGGAGGTAGATGATTCGGCCAAACCGCAGAAGTCTCCGTGTCGGAAAGAATAGACCTCACAGGGTCTATTCTTTCTAACGCGACGACTTTCTTTTTACGAAACACGTGCGTAGCGGACGGTGGTCCTGCGCTGCGACGGTCCTGCCATGTGCGTCGCGTAGTCAAAAGAGCGGCTGCTTCCGTATGCGCTCCGGCATTTGAATCCGCCGGCGGATTGAGCTGAGTTGTCGACCTTATTCGCGCACGGCTACCAACGTTGATGTTCCTGCCTATTAAAAACACGTAATGCCCATCAGTATCTAACCGTTAGACTTTGTGATTGGGATGACTTTCTCCTGTTTTGTGATGTACAGGTGCCTTGAAGAAGGGCTCACATGTTGTTATCAAGGGGTTTCCGTGCAAAATCATTGACTACTCCACCTCCAAGACCGGCAAACACGGCCACGCTAAGGCCAATATCGTCGGTATCGACATCTTCACTGGCAAGAAGTACGAGGATATCTCCCCGTCTTCTCACAACATGATGTCCCCGGTCGTCACCCGCAAGGACTTCCAGCTCATAGATATTGACGAGGAGGGCTACGTCACGATCATGGATGACAAAAATGAGACCCGCTCCGACCTTCGCCTCGACTTTGAGAACGATGACATTCACAAGAAGGCCAAGGAGGACTTTGAGGAAGGGAAGGATCTTCTTCTCACGGTTCTTTCTGCCCTAGACACCGAGAAGGTCATCGCCGTGAAGGAGCTCCAGTAATTTCTGTGTACGCGCGCGACAACGCGTGCAACCGGAGTCTCTCCAGAGCTTTGAGTTGAGTTTCTCCAATTACAGGAAGCTATCCTCTAGGTGCGAGTTTTCTAGCATCGCGGTGATTCGGACTCCGCCGTGATGGGTTTCGTAGCGAGGTACATACAAAGACATCAATAGCATTTGACTGCGTGAAGATCGAGTAAAAATCCACCGAGTATCAGCTCAGCACATTCCCGATTGACGCTGTGGCCACTCACTGAAACGTGGTGATTTTGGGATTCATTGTGCCTCCTTGCGTACGGTTAGTTTCCTTTTGTGAGGGTTTCAGATGGCATCTAACTTCGCTGGGTACGGACAGAAATGTGTACCTGGTTGATATGCCGGGCAAACCTCAGGGATTTACTTTATGAAAGAAGTGCGGTGCATCTCCACCCCGGTAATTATCTGGGAATTGGAAGCTACTCGAACAAATGAGGACCGCACTGAACACCTCGTGATATGCACGTGATCTCATCGCGAAACGCGGAAAGTGTGTTATTGGCGTGTACATGACAAGCGCCTGAAATCGCTACTTCCGTATAAAACTCGGTGTGCTCCAAGTTTACTTGATATTGGTACTCTACAGCTGGTGTCCACGATGTGGAAGGAAGTGCCGCTCTAGTGACAACGACGTCAAAACCCAGTCGTCTTCCGCAAAACTGCATTAAGTGTCCCCGTCCGGGATATCATTCTCCGGCTTGCGCGTGGGCGAGGCCCTTCTCCTCAACCTCCTCGAGGCCCTCTTAACCGCATTCCTTTCCCTATCCTTCCGTATTCTCCGTGCCTGGCCGCCCGTATACCGTCTCGATGCAAGCACCTCGTCCTTCTCGTCCTGCACTTCCAGCGTGACCTTGCGCTCCGGCACATCACGCTCCCAGGAAAACTCGACGTCAAAGTCGTGGTGGGCAATGCTGTTTGGGTAAAGTACCGATCCGACCCACATGTACCCGTCGGCCTGAAGCATCTGCGCGGACGACAAACGTGCGTGGCGGGCGGCAAAGTCGGCGAGCTTCTGGTTGCCCACCAGCGGCGGGTCCTCGTCCGCCGCCAGCTCATAGCCCGGCGCGCGCGTCATGTCCATGCCGAAGCGCGGGTCGGCGCGCGCGACGTTGGCGCTGACGAAGCCCAGGAAGTCGCCGCGGGAGTCCTCGTGCAGGTGGCGGCGCAACGGGGAGTGGACGCCGCCGGCGCGGTGCAGCGCGCGCATAGAACGGAGCATGTTCGCGGAGCCGGGGTGGAGACGAAGGCAAAGTCGGGTGGGATGGGGGGCGGTTGCAGATGCGAGAATGGCGTGTAGGGGAGGGGGGTTGTGACAAATGGATGACAGGGCGGAATGCGAGCGAAGAAGGCTGGTGGATGGCAGCGGGGCTTGGAGCAGGTATTCTGGCAGAGGGCACGCGGTCGAGCAGGGGTAGAGAAAAGGAAGCGTTTCGGATGAAAATTTTAATTGGGCGAAGTTGCGTCCACAGGCAGCGTCAGAGGTCCCTGGGATATCGAATGGGTGTACAGATGCTCTGCTGTTTTCGGTGGTCCCCTGAAAATTGGGAGGGGCCACTTTCGTACACGTTCTTCCGGCGTCATGCGGATAGGCCTGTGAATTCTATACACGTGGCCACGGTGAGGAGGCAAGCGTCCTACTGTATCTCTTTGAGTTGGAGTTGAAGGGCGGTCTGCATCCTCCAGCACAAAGGTACTGAGAGAGTGAGTTCCCATCCCAGCCTATTTGTGCAAATATTTCGAGCACTGTACTGACTCAGTACAGTGCTCGAAATATTTGCACAAATACCGTACACCCCCCACCACTGGGACAAGTACACTTTTGACACCGTAATACATGTGGCTGGAAAAACTCAACCTGATAAAACTTTTTTGCATAAAATGTCTCCACACAAGACGAGATCGAAAGAGTTATGATGAAAATGAGTGCATGCCTCGCAAACACTCCCATTCCACGTGTACGGAGCAATTGTGAGGGAGGCGTGCTGCTGGCGTTTAGGTTTTACGCCGCCTTCTACATATTATACATCGCGACCTGGGAATGGTCAAACTGGGACACTGCCGGGCGCCCACGATGCTTGGCGCAATTCTTCATCCTCGACTTACCAAGCCGAAAGTGTGTTTTGTCCCTACAGAGTCTCGTTAGCGTTGCGTTGTGCTGTGGATGTAAATTTGTCGAAGAGCAAGTGCAATGCAACAAGAAGGACAAATCGTTTCTCTATCGCGTAAACATTACAGCAATTGGTGGCGGAGGCGATTGGAAACATCCGAGCTGCGGAGAACAGAAAACCTCAGCAAGACCAGTAATAACCGATAGGATGGTGTCCGAGTGCTCTGCTGGAAGGGTGAGCGAGACTCTGCGGAAACAGCAAAACGCGGCAGCGTCATCGAAACTGAAGTGCAACCTGACAGAGCATGAGGGACATTGCATAGTATGTACGAACTGTAAGGTAACCGAGGAGCATATGTACTGTAATCACTTTCTGGCCAGCAATGCCGATGAGGGTTTTTTGCCAAGTGTCGCGTGCAGGAGGCGCGAGGCGCGTCCGTCACACCGGTAACGGGTGGCGGAGGAGGCCCTGCTCTCCAGGCGCGATCCGGAAACCTCTGCTCCGCCCTCCCCGGTCCACCTCCCGCCGACGGCTCCAACTGACGCCAGCCATCCGTCACTCACCGCGCCAAACAAATTGGCTTCATCCCACGCGTCCACTGAACTCTGCCTTATCTCATCATACAGTCACGATATTTTTCTCGCTTCGCGCCCCCATTCGGCCCCTTAAGCTCCTTCGCCCGCGCCAGAGACACCATACCCGCTCGGTAAACGCCCGCCGCTCCCCTCCCGCGCAACCCTTCCTACAGTGGCAGCCATAGAGTCGTGCGCTTTCGTGTCACCCGGCGCAGCCTTCCTGCCCCACCGCCCTACCCGTCTCGACTATCACCGCGCCTCGCGAAAACCTTTCTGCGCCCGCTTCACCATGGTCGCCTTCAACATCGAGTGCGATTTGCCCTTCTCGCGCCGCGACTTCTGGCGTCTGCGCGCGTCGCCGGCCTTCCTGTCCTTCATCGTCGAGGATGGGTTGCTCAAGAAGATGCACGCCAGCGACGCGGCTGAGGACGCGCACGGCTGGCAGACCCGCGTCCAGCATTACTGCCCGGCAAAAGTCGACTGCCCGGACTTTATCCGCGCCGTCATCGGCGATACCATGTTCGAGGTCGACGACCATCAGAGATGGCACGATGAGCGCGAGCCCTTCCAGCTGCAATTTCGCATCAAGCCCAGCTTTCTGGCAACCCTGAGCAAGACACATGGCACTCTGCGCGTCGATGACGTCGATCGGGATGTCGTCGGTATGGACGATGCCTCTGATCTTGTCGACGCCTCTAGCTCAGCGGGGAGCACCACCGATCCGGATGGTAGCGATAACGGCGAGGCTAGCGACACCAGCGACTGCGAGCAGAACGAGCCTACCAGCTTGATCTCAAGCCTGCCGGCAGAAGAGCGCTGTGTGCATGTCGTGTCGGGGGAGACGCGCGTTAGCATTCTCACTGTGGGCTGGTTTGTCGAGCGCGCTATCGTGCACAATTTGAAGAACTTCTACGCGATGTACCCCGCGTCTGTGATGCGCTTCAGGCAGAAGCTTTATGCAGAGTTTGCTGAAGGGGATGAAAGCGTCAATTGTTCTGTCGTGGTGGATAGGCTGCTGGAAAGAGATTTGCAGGAAAGAAGACGGATGGAGATGAAAGCAAGGGCCAACGAATGGAAGAAGGAGGACGACAACGTGAGTGATCTGGAACTGCAGAGCGAGGACGAAGACTGGGATGATGTGGAATAGGGCTTCCGAAATGTACAGGACAATTTTGTTGCAGGTGACGAAGGGGGAATTATGGTTGTGAGTTATATGGGGGTTCCCCCGGCAGTGCGCACGGGGGATGCTTGCACGTCGTATTGCTCGCTGCGTCGGGGACGTGATAGAGAATTTTTAGGCTTGTCGTTCGGTTACCCCACGAACAGGAGTCGCTAATTTCTTTGTAGAAGAGTAGCTTGGACTATGCCCTTTTCGCGGGCACCAGCGCGGCTCGACGCTGCGAAGGAGGCCAGACGCGTTAGCAAGACGCTGTTGTAAAAGCACTTAGTATTATCGTATGGCAGGATGTTTGAGCAGCTACGTAGAGATATTTGCTCTGTCCCAGCCTCGTACACGTATCATAACAACCACAGGGTTGGGCTCGCCCCCAGCTCACAAAAGTTCAGCCTTTCCTCTCGAGATTCTAATTGGGATTTCCAAGCATATGCAAAAGTGCGCTCATTCGTTCCTCCCAAACACATCAGGTTGTTGCCCCCTCTCATAGTTCCCTTTCAACTGCCAGTCCTTTGCGCTTGGAAAAGTCTTTCGGGTCATTTAGGGTTTTTGCTCGACAACAAGCCAGCCACTGGTGAGAGCAGGCACCTCGTTTGCCCCGCTCACCCAGCTACACGCCAAGAAACCCTCACTCGCCTCATAAAGTTTAGGTCCAGGCCAACTGGATTCCTGGCGAATCTCGGAGCTGCACAAAAACAGTCTCTGGACGGACATGGCTGCTATCACAGCATGGCATCACACGCTGCCATCATCGTGCGTCTTCCGCTCTACTAAACGGCACGCACTGGTGCTAGAAGAGTAACTTTATTCTTCTAAGAGTTAAACCGTTTGGTGTAGTAAGGCCATTACGCTTATATTAGTCACGATGGTAGCGTTAGGTTATTTTTTAAACGAGTTACTATAAAAAATAGAGACCAATCGCACGTTGACAGTACTGCATACATTCTGTACATCACACCAATACTGTAACATATTGCAGAACACCTGGATAACAGCTTTGAATACGCAGAAAGATTAAGAATGTAATGCAGATTGAGCATCTAGTTCCCTTTTTAAAATGGTGTTTTTGGTTTCAAAGTTATTTTACATGCGGTTTTAAGGTGGTTTAAACAAGTTTCTTTTCCAGACATATCTAAAAACGACTAGGAAGATCATGCAATTCTCACAAAGTTCTTTCTGTCCCCAAGTCAGAAGTCAAGTACGGTGGCAGGGGCATCTTTTCTTACTTGTCGAGGAAGCGGAAGTCAAGAATAAATTAGGTCGAACAATGTCCTCATATGATGGCTAAGGCCCAATAGACACAGGGCCACTCACTGACATAAGCATTAGTCTTGCAGCGTAGCTCCCAGTAGTGAACAATCAAATCAGAACACGTTTTGACAGCGGTATAATAGTTTCAACTTTCACTTCTCTTTTTCCTTCCTGCAATGGAACACTCCAGTCGGAATGTGACGGCAGGATATAACATAAAGTTCTGAGGTAAGGGCGAACGCAAAAAGTCCATTTGCGGAAGTCCCGTTTTCCTTACCACAAGAGTGGTGCTCCTTGGTGATTTTATACATCGACTGGGGTAGAAAACTACGTTGTAAATAATAGTTTCCCAATTCATTTCTTGAATTTTGGGATGCATCTGAGAACAATCTACGCGCCGTCATGAGAGAAAACACAAACTGTGGGACTACATTACAAGTTCAAGGGATGTACATGTTTGAGAATCACATCATAAACTAGTCACAGAAATCGGCAGGATGCTTGATTGGGCTGCCCTGCGCCAGCAAACAACGAAGTACTGGAAAGGTTTTCGAGAACCCACAAGGAAGGGGGACAGTATTTGAGAGTTTGGGCATTGTGGGCTAGTCAACAAAGCTTAGAAACACAAGAGAATTCCGACTAGTGAGCCCCTCGTCTGGCAGGTCTTTGCTGTCGTGATGATTTCGCGCGCGGCTCCTGACTTGCTGGAGGCGGGCGGTATGGGTGTGGTTCTGCTTGGTGCGGCGAGGGCATAAGGCCATCTATTCTCTTCATATAGTCGTCATTGTTGACAAAATTTGCGTCCTCGTTACCACCGGCGTGCCCTTCCGTCGCCTCGAAGTCGGCCATCTCCCTCATCAGCTCTTCCTCCAACTCGGCATCATCGACGCCTCCCTCATTCAAAAAGTCCTCGCTCCCCAGGATCTGGGTGACCTCTTGTATCTCCCTCATCTGCTCCTGAACATCGTCCAGCACATCCTCGACCTCCCCCGGTGCGGGATGGTTCAAATCGCGCAGCAAGTCCGCTGTGTGCGCCATCTCGCCGGCGTGCGTGCGGCGAGGCTGCAGTCTAGAGAGCTCCGCGGTGGCTTCGGCCTCGTCCTGCGCGATGGTGAGGTTGTAGCGCATGTCCATGGCGGCCGCGAGGCGCTTCTCCAGCGCCTTCTTTTGCTGCAGCACGCGGGCGGCGCGCTTAGCGTAGAAGCGGTGCTGCCGCGTCTCCTTCTTCGTGGCGCGTAGCTGCCCGCGGAGGCGCAGCAGCTCGCGGTCGTGCGCGGCTAGGCGCTCCTGCAGACGGTCCGTGCGCGAGGAGACGGACGCGTCCGTGGAGGGCAGCGGCGTGCGCGGCGCGGCGGGCGCAACGGGCGTGGGACGCGCTTCGCGGGACGATTTGGAACGGCCGGCGCGGCCGAAGGCATTCATGGGGTTTGCGTTTGGGAGGGCGGAGGTGGAAGGGGTGGTTGCTTGGGGTTGAAGGCGCAGAGGTCGCGAATTGAGGAATGGACGGGGGAGGTGGGGGGGGGTTGATAGGACTTGTCGCCTCCTTTTCAACGGCTGGCGCTGGGAAAACGTGGCCAAGTGCCAGCAATGACGCGTTGCCGCCCTGTATTCGTGAGACTTGATTGGCTCATCCACACCGCCGTAGCTGTCCCAAATAAAACCGTCTTGGTGTAACTCCTTCGAGTGTTCCGCTGTAATACCATACGGGACTGTAATGCCGTAGTATACAGTATTGGCGAAAGTCTGCCTCCGCCATGATCCTCTCACTTGTCTCATCGAACCACATTCCCGATTGCTGCCAGAGGACATCCGGCCTGTCTGGATGCCATCACCTTCATTTTCGTCGTGATGCTTTCACGGGCATCGTGTCGTCTCCTGACTTCCTTCCCCTATCGCCCAACCGTGCCCCCCACCATCCCCGCGCGCGCATTGTCCTCTCTCTCAGATGATGAGAAGATAGCGCAGATCCGTGCGGGCACATGTCCGACGACGGGCCGTTCGCTTGACGAGGTCGCACGTGAGGTGTGGGGGCATCTCAAGAATCCCGTGGGCCCCGGACACCGTTCCGGCCAAAAGATTCTGCGCCGCCCGCTCAAGGGACCCTTGTACACAAGCTGGTACCCGAAACCCACCGAGAGCATGGAGGGGAGCCCGATCACGCTCACAGAGAAACAGGAGAGATGGCAAAAGAAACTCAAGGGGCTCAGAGCCGCTGGGAAAGGGCCCCCGAAAAAGGGAGCGGGCAAGAGATCCAAGTAGCTTTTTGTTCGCCTCACCTTCATGCGACGCTGCAAATAAATCATATACACAAACCTCACCCGTTGCCCGACTACACTATCAAACTCATACCCGGCTTCCATGAGGTATGTCGCTGTCATTGCATTATCACCGCATGTCTGCCTTCGAAAGTGCAACAACTAGTTGTTCCCCCGAGTAGCCACACCATTCCTTGATTAGCTCATCCACACGCTCCTTACCCACAACAGTCAACGTCTTGGCCCCTCCAGTGCTCTGCCCTATCGCCACATCCCGCTCTGCCGTCGCCTGCGTTGCTGCCGCTTTGGAAGCCTCATACACGATATCTAACGCGCTCTCTGGCATTTCTCTATGTGTCAAGTAGTGCTTTGCGTATGCGGTCGCTGCGCTCAAGCCCTCGTCCAACAAAACCACACCACATTCCGTCTCGATTCTCTTGCGATGCGCCCGCACTATCTGCAGCGTCTGCGCTACGGAAGGCTCCGGCATGTGCAGCACACGAAACGTTTTCGTGAACTTTTCGTCGTAGAATGTGTCCGAGTAGATTAGTCGTTGATACGCTCCGCGGATGCACGTGCAGAGACACACCACCTTGCGGTTGAAGAGGAGGTACCGCAGCATGTTTTCGGATGATATTTCAGAGTTGTCCTGCCCACCAGTAGGCCCTGATAGGGGAGACCCATATACTGGCGACTGCTTCTGCGCAAGCTTGTCGACAAAGCTCAATATGTCAACATCGTCGATACAGAAGACTATGTTTTCCGGCCCGGCCGCCTCGACGAGACGTAACACCTCCTGGATTTGTTTTTGCACTTTGCAAATGTCGTCTTGTGAGCCGTGGTCCCAGAACGAGGGCCCGAGAGCTAAAGTGGAAACCTGACGAGAATGTAGAGAATTCTTCGGATCTTGCTTTTGAAGGTCGGCAAATCTTCTAGCGAGTCCGAGCGATAATGTCCGCTTCCCGCGCCCTGGCTCGCCGACTACGAGTACGGAGCCTCCAGATAATATGCTCTTCATAACTTGCTCCATAATTTCTTCGTTTCCTTCGAAAGGATATCGGTCGCGCATGTCGACTCGATCGCTTATGCATTCCACATATTCGTTCTCATGCAACACCGAGACGGCGACGTGCGGTGTGGGTGTCCAGGACTGGAAGGATGCTCTTCGCTTTCTCTTTTCCGACGTCTCCTCAATCTTATCTGCAGCAGGCTTCTTGACGAGTGCGCTCGATTCTTCGCTGTTAGGTGAAGCAGGGACATGACTGGAGCCGGTGTTCATCTCGCTGAGCAACAGAAAAGGTCCCAAATGCAATAGATCGTTCCTTACTCTTGTCGGAGTATGACATGTCTCGCAAAAGATTTGAGTGGTTCAAATTCCGCGGACGAATGCTTCGGTGATGGACTGTTAACAATCTTCGAAGCGGCGATGGGGAAGCGTGGCGGTGGAGATTAGGTGAATTCGAAAATACGATGAGTAGAACGTGAAGAAACGGCGTGTGCCGAAACGACCCCTAATCCCTTAATACCGGTTTAATGCCCTATGTCTGCAAAAACCGAGGAAAAAGGCTGAATATCAACACGTACAGCATATTCGCAGAGCAAGAAGGAATGAGAATCAGCTTGTCCTGCTGCGCTTCTTATTTATGGATGATGCTCACGGTTTTCGCACAAGGACCGTTTCCTGAGCCACCTATGATGAAAGAGCAGCCGGTTGACTTATCTACATTTCGAAGGAGTAATTTAGATGTCGTCCAATTCTTCGAACGGAATGCTCCCTTGAGATCATCATGCAGTGCCACGGGAATGCGTTGTAGGACATTCTCTCTCGACAAGTGCACGCAACCCAGACGAAATTTGACGTTAGACCTCATACTTGGTTGTATGAGCAGAAAACTATGAGGGTAACACGACAAGATCTTGGTGCTCAACCAAAAAATTTATTTCAAGGCACTTTCGCCAGTGTCATCTGCTGTGTCCGCAATGGCTTTTCGCAGAAGGTATCTTGGTACCGCTTCATGTACCCACTGCTGCTGGTAAAAGGCAGCCTTTCGCTCTTCTTCTGGATTCCGCCCAGTACTACCGCCTAGAACCTTCAAGTCTCTCGTTTGACTCAGAATTAAGTGGTTTATGAATTGGACTGGATTTGAGCAAAAGCCCTTGAAAAAGTCTCGTCTCTTCTTGTGTTCAGCAATTTTTACGAGAGCCAGTAGATGCTTCTCTCGCAGAGCTTCAAATTCAGTGGATTGCGGAAGCTGCAGTCCGAACACACCTGCCCTTCTTGCAGTCTCAATGAGGCTGGTATCTTGAACGCTGACTTGAATGTCGTAGCAATCTTGGTTGTCCACAACATCGCCGTTAAGCTTCACTTCATATTCAATCATCAGGGGTTCAGGCGGACCCATATGGCTCTTGACCACTGTGAATAGTTGCTGTAGTTTCAAAACCTCCACATTGGCATTCGCGGGTCCTAGGAGGCCCTTGAGTCCCTGATCCAGCCGCACAGCACTTCGGTCATCGACACATTGCAAACGATTCTTCTTGATGTATTGCCATACGCCAGCGAAGATTCCCTTTTTCGTATCTGTTTTCACGCCAATCAGCCTTGACAATGCGTGAGAGAGTCGGAACTGCTCCGGCTTATGATCTATATACAAGAAAATCTTTGCAGTGAATTCCTTGTCTCCCGACCGAGAAATTTCAAAGCCATCGGATGAAGGTTCTTTGTCATTTCGTTTCCATTCGATCAGGTTATTTTCAGGATAAAACTCCTTATCGAGCTCTATGACGATTCTCTTAAAAATATCGGAACACTTCGGTGGCTGCCCTGTGATAACGCTCTGATTTGATTCTCCCAGCACGGGTCCTTGGATAGGCATGAGAGGTGTGTTGGGATTCGCAAGGTGCGCACTCTGATTCACGCCCGAAGGGGTTACGGCTGGGGCATTTTGCAAAATAGGGACTCCAGGGCCGACTGGATCTGTGACCGCGCTTGAAACGCCGCGTGTCGCCTTATTTGCACCGCCTCCGCTGTCTTGATTCGTCGAGCTGCTTGACTTTCTCGGTCGCTCTTCGCTCTTTTTCAAAAGTCGGCCTTGAATGCGCAACGACCATGAAGCGACGTCATCCTCAGTGGTTCCAGGTGCTCCGGGCTGTGATCGGTAGGTATTGAACAAATATAATCGAAAGACGCGCGATTCAAAGAAGGATTGCGACTTGAGAGATTCTTTGATATCCTGCTGTTTTCGCATGATAGCCAAGTCAAGCTTCTCTTCCATTCTGACAAGATTTCGATAGGAGGGCGATTCACGAATGAGGTCTGCCGCCGCTTTGTTGGCGACATCAATATTGATAGATGGAGGCTTTGACGTATCGAGTTTTTTCCTGGGCAGTTCTGCGTTACTCGCTGCTGAAACCCGCGCTCGTTTCCGTCGTTCGCTGGATGACGCCAGAAAATCTGCAGCCGCCTTGGCGATGTCCCCTTCTCCAAGTGTGCCAAGTGGGAGGCCATTTCGTGAATTCAAATTGTCCATTGCGTCTGAAGGGGACGTGCAGAAATGTGTGGTTGTGTAGACAAGCGGGTTGTCGACGAGTTGATGAAGGCTCAGACGTAGAGAAATGAGCACCTTTGTGGGCAACTTAAAGCGGGGAAAGGCGGTTAGCAGGACTTCGAAAATGATTTCGCTATGCTGAAGATTTTGGGTTTCTAGGAGAAGTCAGTACTGTAGACCGTGGGGGGACAGCGAAAGATAATACAGAAAAGCCAGTAAAATTGGCACACTTGGATTTTGAATCGAACGGAGAAATTTTTATGTTTTTTTTATTTTAATTTTCCTGTATGCGCGCGGTGGAGGAGCTTAAGTTTACCGTGTCGGTTCTCAGACCTTCCCGTGCCAGGCGTCGTCGGTAGTCGTGAGTTGGATAAATTTGGCCGTGCACACGTTCCGACGGCATCTTGTGGGACAATTTAAGTGTGCGGAAAGAACGTTTGGACTTTTGCCCGGGCCGCGTGTGTTGTGGGACGTTTCCGTCAGGCACGCGTGCGACGCCATCTACCAGGTTTCACCACAACAAAACAACCCCACCCCCGTTCTCCGCATTTTGCTTCAAGTTCTGAGACAGCCGCCCAATTTCACCCAGAAGCATTCTGAAAGTTTCAAAGGGAATCTAACTCATTAGTGACTTGTTACTGCACGAGAGTTGTGGCCGTCGTGGACCATCCCACATTAGTTTTTCGGAGATCGTCCACGAGGTAGAAAAATGGACAAGCTTAAAATGGCTGATCCTAATGGTTATGCGGATGACGATGACTTTGCCGAGCATGTTTACACGGAGGTTGAGGATGGGGACAAGTCGATCAGCGAGGAAGATGGCTGGAGAGTCATCTCGTCCCATTTTTACGAGCGAGGGTTAGTGAGTCAGCAACTGGACTCCTTCGATGTCTTCATGACGCACACAATGCAGGTAAGCTACTATCGTGTGCCACCTACCAAACTGCCACTAATCAAACACTCTGGTTGTTGCTGTTTGCACGGAATTTATCAGTATGTAGCTTACTTACTGAACCTTGACCTTGCCTAATCCTTATCCTTTGTATTACAGGATTTGGTCGACCAGACTGCAGATATTGAGCTTATGTACGAGGATCAACATCTGCCCGGACGTGTCCGCGATGAGGAGGAAGAAATGGACAAAAAGGTCATAATCAACTTTGGTCAGCTGAAGATGGGACGGCCTATCTACCAAGAGTCTACTGGTGATACCCATCTGCTGTACCCAAATCAGGCTCGCCTGCGGAATCTGACGTATTCAGCGCCGCTGTATTGCGAGACCAAAGTCAGCACAGTCACTATAATCGACCCTGAAACTGGGGAAGAAGATGTCTCCCACGAGCCTAGCAAGCCTGTTTTTATGGGCCGTGTTCCTATTATGCTGCGGTCTAGATACTGTCTCCTAGATCCCCTGAAGAATGACTTCGGCCTTAATCAAATGGGTGAGTGTCACGTTGACCAAGGCGGTTACTTTGTCATCAACGGCTCGGAGAAAGTCCTGTTGGCACAAGAGCGCATGTCAGGCAACCATGTTTTCGTCTTTGTCAAAAAGGCGCCAACTAAATTTTCACACATTGCTGAAGTGCGCTCCGTTGCGGATACCAGCAGCGGACCCGCCTCACAGCTACAGGTAAAGCTGTCTTCCCGATCTGGTTCGAAAGGCGGGGTAACGGGACAGACAATCTTAACCACACTACCGAATATCACTCAGGATATTCCTATTGTCATAGTATTTCGGGCACTTGGTTTTCAGAATGACAAGGAAGTCATGAAACATATATGCTACGATTTCAACGATGACGAATTAATGACGTCCCTGATGCCGTCGATTGAAGAAGCTCAGGTCATCCAAGACCAGGAGGTAGCCCTGGATTTTATCGCGAAGCGAGGACCGCAACAAAGCGCGACTGCACCGAAGAAGCATCGCATTAAGTATGCCAGGGAACTATTGCAGCTCGAATTTCTACCTCACATCAGCACTCAGCCAAACTCAGAACTGAAAAAGGGCTACTATCTGGGTTACATGGTGAACAAAATGTTGCATGTTGCTCTCGGAAGACAGCCACCAGATGATCGCGACCATTATGGGAACAAGCGGCTGGACCTAGCCGGTCCCTTGATGGCCGGGCTCTTTCGACAGCAGCTCAGAAAGCTGATGAAAGATGTTCGAGCAAATGCGAAAAGAATCGTAAACGCCGGTCAGGACATTGATCTAAGTTCCATTGTGAAGTCGGCTATCATTACCAACGGCTTGAAGTATGCGCTGGCAACTGGAAACTGGATTGGAGCAGGTGGTCAGCCGACAAAGACTGGAGTGTCGCAAGTGCTCAATCGTCTAACGTTTGCCTCCTCACTCTCACATCTGAGAAGACTCAACTCTCCTATCGGGCGAGAGGGCAAACTGGCCAAACCCAGGCAGCTTCACAACACTCACTGGGGCATGATTTGTCCGGCGGAAACCCCAGAGGGTCAGTCCTGTGGGCTTGTGAAAAATCTAGCTCTGATGGCGTACATATCAGTAGGGTCCCTCTCACGCCCGGTCACACTTTTCTTGGAAGAATGGAGTACTCACTCTTTGCTGGAAATCAATGCAGGTCAGGTGGCTAAGGCGACGAAGGTGTTCGTTAATGGCGCGTGGTTTGGAATTCATCATCGAGCGGATCATCTTGCTGAGACTCTGCGTCGATTACGGCGAAAAGGAGACATTCACTTTGAAGTTTCCATTGTTATGGATCATCAGCGGAAAGAGCTTCGCATTTACACGGATGCAGGACGAATCTGTAGGCCACTGTTCATTGTGGAACAAGATCGTGTTCCAAACGCGGCAGGTTGGCGTCAACCGCGTTTGAAGATCCGAAAAAAGCATGTTCAAGTGTTGATGAATGCGCAGGACGCGGACGACGAAACTTTCGGATTCAATGCTTTGATAAATCTTGGCCTCATCGAATATGTGGATTGCGAAGAGGAAGAGACGATCATGATTGCAATGTTGATGAGCGACCTGGAGAAGAAGGATCATTCGGCTGGCTACACCCATTGTGAGATTCACCCAGCGATGATTTTAGGTGTTTGTGGTTCGATCATTCCGTTCCCGGATCACAACCAAAGTCCTCGAAACACGTATCAGTCGGCAATGGGGAAGCAAGCAATGGGTGTATATATCACAAACTACAGCTTGCGCATGGATACTCAGGCCCACGTCCTGTATTACCCTCAAAAACCACTCGTATGCACTCGCGCAATGGAACACTTGAAGTTCCGCGCATTGCCTTCTGGAATCAATGCCTGTGTTGCGATTGCTTGTTACTCTGGTTACAACCAAGAAGATTCTGTTATCATGTCACAATCAGGAATTGATCGGGGACTGTTTCGATCAGTGTATTTCAGGAGTTACAAGGAAGAGGAGAATAGGAAATATGGAGATGTGAAGGAGTCATTTGAAGTTCCTGATAGGAAGACGTGCTTGTCAATGAAGCCGGATGATTATTCTTTGCTTGAGGAAGATGGGTTGGTCCCAGAAGGAGTAGCTATCACCGGGCGGACGATTCTTGTTGGGAAAGTTCAACCAATGGAGGAAGTGGAGCAAGACGAGAACGGTGGTGGTACTCGCAGTATGACGGAAATGGCCGGGGGGAAGGTGAAGAAATGCGTATCCCTGGGAGCGAAATCGACGGAGAAGGGCATTGTGGACAAAGTTCTTCTTGCGACGAATGAAGAAGGGCACCGTTTCACAAGGGTGCGACTACGGTCCGTGAGAAAGCCGCAAATTGGTGACAAGTTTTCATCGCGGCATGGGCAAAAAGGTACGGTTGGGATCACGTACAGACAGGAAGACATGCCCTTCACATCCGAGGGCATCATCCCAGACATCATTGTGAACCCTCACGCCATTCCGTCTCGAATGACGATTGGTCAACTGATTGAGTGTCTGTTGGGCAAGGTTTCATCCATCCGAGGAACAGAAGGGGACGCAACGCCTTTTACAAAAGGTACAGTGGAAGATATCGCACAACGTCTGCTCGAAAACGGTTATCAGCCTCATGGGTGGGAACTGATGCACAACGGGCACACAGGTCGACCACTGGAGGCGCAGATTTTCCTAGGGCCAACTTACTACCAAAGGCTGAAGCATATGGTTGATGACAAGATCCATTCGCGAGCCAGAGGGCCAAGCACTATGCTTACACGTCAGCCACTAGAGGGTCGAGCACGTGGTGGTGGTCTAAGATTTGGAGAAATGGAGCGTGATTGCCTGATTTCACACGGCGGTGCCAACTTCATCCAGGAGCGGTTGATGGAAATGAGCGACAAATCGAGGGTTCATGTATGCGACATCTGTGGATTAATTGCGATTGCAGACCTCACCAAAAATGTATTTCAATGTCGGGGGTGTAACAACAAGACGCGCATTAGTCAGGTGTACATCCCGTATGCGTGCAAGCTGTTGTTCCAAGAGTTAATGGCCATGGCAATTGCTCCGCGCATCATGGTGAAGGTAGAGGATTGATGTATCTAGCTAGGGTTGTAGAAAATGGTCTGACAGTGTAAAGTTGTTGTAAGAATAAGGATAGCTCCCATACAGATATGTATACTGTACATTGTTGGCAAAGGCTGGCCAAAATCATTAAAATTTATGCGCAAGGACGAGATGACCCTGGAGGTAGTAATTGTAGGTGAGGTGGGCGCGGGGGCGGGAAGGTGAAATTTTTTTTGAAATGTGGTGTGTCTCAGGGCGGAGGCTCGTTTCTTGAGAAAACGGCGCAAGGCGGACCGGACCGACTCTGCATACAACGGACTCATCGGGGCCGGCCAGCGAGAGAGCACCGCCCTCGGACCGAACACGACCTGCTTGTGATCTCCAGTCGGCGGCTTCTTCGCCCCGCTGTTACTTGCAACCATCGCGTCCCCGCGTTCGCCTTTCGGGCGCCATTCGCGCCACATGGCAAGTGGCGTCAATGTCTCTGCCGCCGTCGCAACTGCCGCGCATCGTGTCGTCACTGTCGCCGCCATCCAGTTTCAATGCGGTGCAGATGTAGAATCCAACTGCCGCAAGGCAGAGGCCCTTATCCGCGATGCCGCTCGCAAGGGTGCTAACATCATCCTTCTCCAGGAACTCTTCGCGAGCCTTTACTTTCCTATTGACCAGATGGATTGCATGCGTCTCGCCGTCTCTATCGAGGATGACAAGTCGTATATCCTTCGGTTTCAGACACTTGCAAGAGATTTGAGCGTCGTGCTGCCCATAAGTTTTTTCGAGAGGTCCAAGTATGTTTGTCCTTTATTCTTCCCGTCTCGGTTTTGCTTCTTATCAGGTGTTTATGACCTGTGTCACTAACCCCACGTCTTTCTGTTCGTTTTGCTTTTTTTTTGTTACCTTTTGCTGTGCCACGTGCAGCAATGCTTACTTTAACTCGCTCGCAATGATCGATGCCGATGGCCAACAGTTAGGAATTTATCGAAAGTCTCATATACCAGATGGCCCTGGATATCAGGAGAAGTTTTACTTCACACCTGGTGACACCGGTTTCCGCACCTTCAAAACTAGATATGCCGCCATTGGCGTCGGCATTTGTTGGGATCAATGGTTCCCTGAGGCTGCTCGATGCATGGCTCTACAAGGAGCGGAGCTTCTCATGTATCCCACCGCCATTGGGTCTGAGCCTCAATACCCCGCGATGGACACTTGTGCACAATGGCAGCGCTGTATGCAGGGGCATGCAGCTGCTAACATGATCCCTATTATCGCTTCAAACCGCGTTGGAAAAGAACTTTCCATGGCGTCTGACATATCTGTCACTTTCTACGGTTCCTCATTTCTCACCGACCATTACGGCGCAATCGTCGCCGACGCTGGTCGTCACCAGGATAGCACCTTAATGCACACATACAACCTTGATGAGATGCGTTCAGCGAGGCATCAGTGGGGTATTTTCCGCGACCGTCGCCCAGACCTCTACACCGCTCTTTTTTCGTTCGACGGTAGCGCCGCAGCACATGTGGTGACAGATAACAGGCGCGCTCCTTCTTTACCATCCCCATTCCACACTGCCCGCGCTGTAGGGCCGGCGCAAGTGGCGATGCCGGGCCTGACCCACCCCAAGAAAATCGGCGATCCAGACACGCTTGTTCCTCCTCATGCAATGGTTCCTGTTGTCGAAGAGACGAGGCGCGGGGGGCTGGGGCACACATTTGATCTCCATGAAGCTTCTTTCATTGGCGACGTCAAAGCCAGCGCGCAGCGTAGACCCCGAGGACGGTGTTGGGTATGCCGTGCAAAGACAACCTACGAGTGTAAACTTTGCACACCGGGACCGGTGCCGTTGTGTAATAGGACGGCTAGGGAGTGCTGGTGGAAATACCACGCCGGGGAAATTACCCAATTTGTACCAAACAAACGGGGCAGGAAGCGTCGAAAGAATGAACACAGCGAAGTCCACGGCAACGAGCATCCCGAAGGGGATGAGAGTGATGACGACGTTGAAGATTCGAAGCAAGATGCGGATCCAGGCAATGTGGGAGCGTTGCTCGGGTGACTGCGAGGCCCCGGATAGAAGACATCTTGCGAAACAGCAAGCAAGTAGTGTGTACATGTTAAAGGACCATCATGGTACAGTGCCGAGACACTTGAAGCTTTGGGAGTCGTCTTTGCCAGATCCTAGTCCTTTTAGTGAATTTTCCACTGCACGATCGTGGTTTACAGGGCAAGAGTGAAATTTGGCCGCTCATGTGGTCCGCCCTCCTCTCGAGTTTATTTCCCTTACGAGTGCAGAGCGTTCAATATCTAGCTTCTCGTAGCGCTCCCGCTTCCTGATGGTTTCTTCGCGAAGCCGTTTTCGGGCTTCTTCAATTTTCTTGAGGTCTACGCTTTCAGCGTTGGAGAAATCCTTGAAGTAAGCCGAGTACATGGATTGTTTGATCTGAATCTGGGGCCCGTGTGGCGTAGTCTGTAGCATGTCGAGCAATTTTTCCGACGGGTCTTGGAAAACGATTTCGTCATAAAACTCACTGATCACCGGGTCGAGAGTTGGTTCTTCGGTACGCTCGACAAACAGGCGAAGCGGGTGATATAAATCAACAGGCTTTTCCGCAGTGTCGTTGAAAAAAACGCGGATGATGATTTCAAACTCACCCCAGCCATACTCGCTGACCTCGTACGGCATCTCAGTAACACGTCGGACCTGCGGGTTGAAGGACTCGTGCAGAACAAAATCAACATGGTGGATGAAATGTGATATGTCGGCATTGTTCACCGGTCGCAGGTACACGGTCCAGTGGTGACTTCGTGCTTCTGTTCCGCGGTCTTGCAAGTATTTGGCGTAGCTGCCATGGACGACAGGGACGTGAAAGACGGTGCCACGGACCCGTTTCATGATGAGATGTCTGCAAAGAACAAGCGTGGACTCAGTCCTTTTGCAAAGCGGGGTCTCGCAAATAAAATCTGGAACCGGCAAGAGATCACGCGATTGCGACTTGCTGTGCAATGCGCCAAGGGTAGCGGCGAAGCTAGGTTCACCTGCGCCGACAGTGCTAGTGCATGGCACTTCAAGCGAGAAATAGTCTCGTTCCCAACCACAATAGCCGGTGAGAGCGCCTTCCAATACGACATAGAAAGTCTTAAATATTCGTAAATTTTGACCGGATCGAATGTCGAGAAGTGACCGGGGCATGTGCCCCGTGCTCATCGAGAGGATCAACCAGCAATCTTGGGGCCCATCTCTCAAGTGCACCATCCGTATTGTACAGTACATTCTACTCCCTTTTTGAGCCTGCTCACAGCTGCCCTGCCTTCCTTTCTGTTGCGTCTGCTTGGCTGCTCGGCTACCGGAACGTTCTGATCGTCCTACGCAACGTCTTAGAAGAGGATTGGCACCGCCCCAAATGGAAGGAATACGACGAACCATTCCGCGATCGGCTCGACGAACGCCAGCACGCCAGGACGTGTCGCAGTTCCCAGCCACGCCCCGCACACCCGCATCCCAGAAAACTATTTTCAGTCCAGAGCGGTACGCACCCGCGTTTCGAAGTTCTCAGAATGAGCCTGCCAAGATAGAACCCCAAGCTTTGCCGCCGATCCGAACCGGCGTGGAAGCCCTTTCCCCCTCACCATCAGTACCAACGCTCGCCTACGCACCGGCACCGTTGACAACGGTCCGATGGCTTCCTGCTCCAGGCCGTGACGCGATCGCAGCTGTGGGAACTGGCGATGGAGCACCAGATGCAGATTTTCTGAGTTTGTATCGCGTCTCCACAAGAGGTGGAGATGTCAGTGCCACCGTGGCGAGGGATATTGACCACCCTGGGAAAGTATTACGGATTGCGTCCAGCTTGTCATCTGAGACCTTGTTCGTGGGTTCGTCTGATGGATCAATAAGGACCCTGTCCTTGGACTCTTGGGAAACATCGAGTCTGGAAACCCTGTCGGTGATGCCAAGGCGTGCAGCCCGACCGGAACTTGTCACTGGAGTGGCACCTGTGGTAAACGGAAGAGTCGCTGCATTGGGTGGAGACGGTACATTCATCGTCGTAGATGTTAGTCGCTGCCAAGAAATAGGCAGAGCAGAAATGGCAGATCCAGTTGGATTTTTCGATGGCACAGCTGTCGATGCCGAGGCAGGAAATGAAGTGGTTAGTGCGGGGGCAGGTTGCGAGGTTTGTGTGTGGGATACACGCATCATACAAACGGGACGCGGAAACGTACAGACCCTGGGTCATCCTACTCCTGGAGTGGCTACCAGATGCGTGACAACAGATCCAGCGCAGCCACACTTCGTCATCGGAGGTACCAGAAACGGAGAACTATGTACTTGGGACAGAAGGGGAACTGAGCCGTTCCCCTTAAATCGAGTCGCAATGCATGATGGCGTAGTTTGGGAGACTCGAGTTGTGAGCTCGTCCAAACCGGGACTCCTGCTGAGTTGCGGTGAGGACTCGAAAGTCTGGCTCATGGATTTTGCTGCTGCTGCCAGCAGAGACTCGGCTATGGGATCTGAGAGTGGTGAATTCTGGAGATCCATGATCACGCAGAGTGATGTGAGAAATGTTGTCGGGTGGGACAGCGCTCTCGGAATCAATGGAATTGACGCACACCCCACTGCAGACCTATACGCCTACGCATCTGACTCTGGTGCGGTGGCGTTTGGCTGCCTCTACTCCTAACTAGGAGGTGTGCAGTGCGTTCATGTTTTCTTTTGGCAACATCTTCATATGAAAATATCAACAGTTCACGCAATTACGACTGTGGAGTCAATATTAGTCCCAAATCCCGGCCCTCTGTCATACTGTCTTTTTCTTTCCTTCTGGTCCACGAGATGCGACTGGGACATAGGTGCGGATCGATTATTTAGGAAAAAGTTGGCCGGGCCGCATTGAAACTTAACTAAAGCTAACCTTATTCATCTCCTTTTTCCTTACGTTACAGTAGTGCGAAACCAGCGCGCTTGAATGACCACAAGCACAGGACTGCTATGTGTGGACTAATTCTTTGTGATGATCAATTCGATTATGCAGACTTCTTATGGCATGGACATAAGGCGTCTCTTCAGTAGAATACCCCTTGTGTCCAAGCATGCAAGTGGGGCCATGTGCAGTCGAATTGGTCATGACGTAAAGCGCTGACATCAAGAAGTTCCAATGCCGTTAAGAACTGGAAGTGTGCAGACATCTGTCTCAACTTGGTGTCAGCAAATTATGAAAAATTAACCAATTTACACCGGACTCGCAAGCAGCAACACAACAACTGCGCCATTCCTATCAATGGAGTGAGTCTCTCAAGCTTGCTGTCCAACCCCCAATCCCCCTTTTCCGGTATCCACATAATTAGAAGGGTGACCACCTGCCGTCTCTCGTCGGAGCTCAAACGGCCGCATCACCATGTCTACAATAGGAGCACCCTACCCATCTCCTGAGGAGCGTTCGCGGGCAGTATTGGTACAAAATATAAGCCACGTTGCGACTTCCGCAGCGATCGAAGAGTTCTTCTCATTCTGCGGTCCTGTTGTCGACCATCGCTTACGTACTGTTCCACCCAGCAAGGCAGGCGAAGACCCAACCTTGGAAGCCGTGGTCATTTTTGCAGACGACCGCGTGTGCGAAGACGCCCTCGTCATGAACGAATCATCCATCGTCGACCAACCTGTGTCCATAACTCGCGTGCCGCAGGACTACGACTTTAACAAACCCATGTCTGATAGTCTGCCAACAGCCACTGCCCAACCGCAAGGAATGTTTGGCGGGTTTTCTGCCTTTGGAGACCTGTTCGCTGGCGTGGGCAGTGCCGTCGCAACTGAAGTCGGCAAAGCCGGCAAAATGCTCGACTCTGCCACGGACGGCGGGGTACTGAAGCAAGCGAAAGACCAGGTCGCGCTTGCAACGCAAAGGACACGCGATTTTGCTGTGGACTTGGATGACAAGTGGCATGTGCGGAATAACATTCTAAATGCGGCCGAAGTTGGGAAGGCAAAAGCATCGGAGGTCGCAAATGTCGTCGCAACGCAAACAACTTCAATGGCTACAGAAGTTGACAACAGACTGCACATAACCGAAAACACAGGCAAGCTGGCGGAGAAGGCCCGCGAAGTGCCTGCTGTTAACCAAGGTGTCGCCGCGATAACCGGCGGCTTCCAAACTCTCATGGCTCAAACGGGCCTTGCGCAGCCAGAGCATGGCAATGCACCTACAACGCCCGCCGCCGGTGCTACTTCAGGAGCGCAAACAGTTCAAGAAGCCCCAACAGCAACGCAATCACAATAGCGCCGGAATAGAGAGTGAGCATCCTGAAAGCTTGTAGGCATTTGCTATCGCATTTCTTCTGGAGCATCGGTTAAGCGTAGCGCAACTGCATGTACAAGAAGTTTACTCATCTGGTGTATAGCGACTGCCCTCACTCCTCATGTTTTCAGATAACTTAAATCTCCCTTCGCGTGACAAAGTTCTGCTGCAGCCTTTGTGACTTTCTTCGCGAGATCTCTCACGTCAACACTAATTCGTTGGTATGAAGCGCACTGCCGCAAACGCTTCAACGCGCGCGAGCTATCCTCATCCTTTTCTGGGACAGTATATTCATTGAGAATATTTGTACTTCTTCGCACTGTCTCTTGAGCAAACCGGGTCGCAGAGGTGCGCCAGTGCGAAAGGAAGGCTTGTCTTTCACTAGACGAAATTGGATTAAAATGCTTGACGCAAGATGAGAACACCTCATCATCTGGTTGACTCCAAACGTATGAATGTATTGAGCCGTATGCCCGTGAAATGTTCTTGTATACATCAGAAGCAAACCCGAAAGGTAGGATTTCAAAAACCCTACTGGCAGGCCTTAAGAAAATAAAATTGGCATTACCGTCGCCGTGGGAAGCTACTACCACCCCTGCCTCCTGCATTACCGAAACTTGCTCGTGGAAAGATGAGTTTTCAAAAAATACAACCTCTGGTTGAACTTGCACTCGTTCATCTCCGCGGTGGACCCTCGTTCCATACGCCGAAATAGCTGCACTGAGCTTCTCGCTCCCCTCAATGTACCGTTTCCCGTATCGATTAAGAATTAATACTTTTACTGAACAAGATCTCCCTTGCTGCGCAGACATGGCGGTTAAGGGAACCCGGTTCAAATTGTTTTTCGAAAAGAATATGTTCTGAGGGGTCATGACTTCTTTCGGAATTTCTGATATCTCGACGTTAGTAGATACTAAAGAGCGAAAGCATGAGGCCTCAGAGTACACTTTCCATGCGTACACGTCCTTCAAATCTGCAATCTCTAAGTTTCCAGAGACAGAATTTCTCACAAGTCTCAAAAGACTCTTTGGCCACATGTAGTCCTTAGTATCTGATATGCGGGAGTCTACAAGGATCAGAGGTTTAAGTGATCCAGCACCTGTGCCGTTTTTTGCTGGGCACGGCTCTCCATTTTTTGTTGTGCAAAGCGATTTCGTTCCCTGTGAATAGGCGAGAGGCCGATCCAGAATATCGAGTAAAAGAGATACCTGAGTAAGATCGTTAACAAGAAGATCTCGTTCTCCTCGTGGAGGTTCATTTCCAATGACATCGAAGTTCTGGTAGTCATCTTTCAGGCTAATATTCTTGGACATGCCCTGCACCTCAAAAAGAGTCTTGCCCTTGCTCCAAACCTCAGTAATGTGATATGAAACTTTCTTAATACCACAGTTGGAGATGTGCGCTGAGTAAGCCCTCATCCATTGTGGGAGAACAACAGATCCATCTCCCACGCGACACGCTCCCTTGATTACACAGAAGGCTTTGTTCTTTGAGATGCCATTGTGAGTGAGAATAGTCAGAGAGCTCTCGAGAGCGGGGACACCTGTTCGGTGCTCTGTCTGATTGTGATTCTCGCTACCCTCCTGAGAAAGTTGAGAGGCGCCTGCCGGAATGTCGAAGCAATGACACTCTTGCAAAGTGAAGAATAGCAACAAAACTGCTCCTACAACTTTGCGCCAGATTGATATTACAGATGCTTTCATGATGTCAAAACACAACTTCTTGTGCCGTAAGGTTTCATTGTTCAGATGAAGTTTGGTACTTACTACTAAGTATGAGAGCCTTGAGATCCTGTATTAAGAAAATGCAGGACTTTTCGCACTCCATTATTTAATGACTAATGAAACAACTGTTTTGAAAGACAGCATGTTGTGTATTCTGTGTGGAATGGTTGACGTTAACTCGAACGACAGTTCCAGTGTTTTTCTGTATTTCAGTGGTCCTTGTACTCAGCCTGTTTTGAAATGGATAGGTTAAAATTTGTCAGCAATAAGATGGATGCGAGTCAATTACTAATAGAAACCTCTTCTCTACACGTGATACGTTTCCCTACTGAGCTGGAATGCTCTTTCGGGGCTCCCTAATTCTTGATGCGGGTTGAGAGCAAGTCGCATCTGTGCTAAACACCACTCGGGCCTTTCATATAAGACAAAATTACTATTGGCGATTGAATGGTATTCTGGCATGGGTACCGTTCTGTATCCAGAAACTTGAATAGTTCAAGGGAGAGGTCGATGTCAAATTTTTAGATGGATGAACACCGTGGCTCTTGGCTGTAACGTGCACGCCATTCTGTGCATTTACGACTACGTTGGGTACCTCAACAACTGATTCCAGTAGTTTCAAAACATAATTTCGCACTACTATTTATGCATTGAGATGGGTATAAAGAACAATGTTCGAATGTTCTCTTGTTTGATTCGCATGACCCCTCATGCTCAGTGAATTACTTCTTCTTTTCGATTCAGACCGAAACTGAAAACTGTGTGTTAGCTATTGGTTTGATCCAGCTGCTTAAAGTATGTGTAGCTGGGACCAGTCATTAATTACAAACACGACGTTGATACGAAATCGTCGGGCGCAGGACTAATAGGTATATACAGGATTTCTAAATTTTTGTGAATGGAAGGCTGCAAGGATTGCAGTCATCCGTTCGAGCGTCAGAAATGCGACGAAATATGCAGTATGATACAGGCCCACCCCATGTTTCTTGCTATGCCGATATTGTGGGTCTTTCTGTCTTGGCATGGGGTCTTCGCTTTGAATGACTGATCGCCTCAAACACAACGACATCATCTTCTGTGCTCTCGTCAAAAATTTTGAACTCTGTCTCAGACCAATCCTGTTTATCCATGACAGGCATAGCCACTTCGTCTCTTTGAAACTCCTGTTCTAGATCAGCTTCTGTCCATGATCTCCAGCAGTCGGCGCCGACAAAGCCAACATCCAGCAAGATCTGACTAGAGCGTTGTGCATACTCCATATGAGTTCCAACTTGTTCCCGCGATAAACAAACATTTTCAACGTTCGCGACTCCTGATGGATCCTCAACAGGCCGGGTTCCAGCGACTGCACCCAGATTTGTGCCGCGATGGTATAATTCGAGATACCAATCACTCGGGTTGTAGACATTCACGAGTCTCCCTGCAACTGCAGTTCTTATCTCCCTCCACTTTACCAGGGACGCGGAACAGGGCGCTCCAATCAGGCATACATCATGCACTATGCCAACCAGATTTCTTCGTGCAAGTTCCTCAAGACAACAGAATATGACCAGCGCACCCGCAGAGTACCCTGCAAGGATGACAGGTCGGTTACCAAACGATCGAGACGCGAGTTCCGCCGCAAGCATATATCCGCACTCTGCTGCTCGTGATATTGTCCTTGCCCAAGTGTTTCCAATGATGGTTCGGAGGGCTCCAATTACTGAAATCGGTAGCGCAACCGCCCCAATCAACGCTGGAGCAACCATCATTGCCCCCTTTTGCGCTGCAGCTGACACCGCCATCTTTCCGATGAGACTTCGCAAGGCTTCGCTCAGTTCCATTAACAAACTGGATTCCCAGCGTACCGCGAATGCTTGAACATTGAACTGCTGAAGAGCTCCTTCGACAGACGAGAACTGATCAGCAAACATTCCCGGGTATGACCCGACATCCTCTGCAGCGATTAGACCCGGTACAAAAATAGCCATGGAAAGCGACCGCACGTCGCCTGTAAGAAGGTCTGCCGGTTGATACTCGTTCTCTTCCATCACCCATATTGGTGGGTCTTTGCCCGGAGGCACAATCGCAACGCGGTAGGAGATTCTCACAGGCAAAGACCCTGGTAACAAACGAAACCGCAGGATGTATTCGCCACTTCCAAGCACGGTAACAGCGCCAGTCGTCCTCCGTTTTCGTCCGTCGCCGCGTTTATTCAGCCCTCCAGCATCCATCTTTTCCTCTGGAAGCAGCCATTCGGCGCCTTTTCCTGCTTTCTTGTCAGGAAAGGCCCTAAACTGCACACCAAATGCCATTGCCCCCGGAACGATCATCGCATATTCTTGAGATGTGAGTAGTTCCCATACAAGTAGACCCCCTCGCCCCGCAAGCTCATCTTCTTCCTTGAGCGGGACGACAACTTCATGGATTCTCCTCGACATAGATACTATGGCGGTGTCATATGTAGATCTTTTGCTTCCCTGAAGCATTGAGAACGGTTCAAAAACAAACTCTTCTACTTCACCCGTTCTACTAGCCATTGCAGCCGCCCCAACACCAGCACCTGCTGCGCCAAAAAGACCACCAACAGCCACAGCGCCACCGCCCCCCAAGGCTGCCAGAGGAGCGGATACGCCAGCCAAACCTACGCTTCCCAAAGCAGGAAGCAGGGCCGGGGCTATTAAGCCTCCCGATAGACCGAGCGCTATCCCTCCTATAACTGAAGCAGTACCAATCTTCAACCACTTTGCGTTTTTCCGGCGCTTGTTCTCAGCTTCATCATGATCAACGGCCTCGACGTTCTTTCCATCAATATCTGCATTCTTCGACAATGCATCGACCAACAATGCCAGATCTCGCTCTGCAAGATAGAGTATGGTAGGCGACAAGTGCAAAGCGCTAATGAACCTCGCGAGAGTCTCGCGTGCGCGAGCGTCATACGCGGTTGATGCAGAAACGTCTGCGTAGAGAAGGGCTGTGACAAGCGGGACAGCCGTACTGGGTCCGAAAGATGAGGCTGAGAGGTAGCCATCGAGGGAGTGGAGCGCATTGGAGATGCGGTTGTCGGAGCTGGAGATCTCCAGAGCTTGCTCGATCATGGCGGTGCGCGTGCCGGAAGCAAGCGAGAGCGAGGTGAAGGTGCGCGAGAGATAGGAGCGCAGCCAGGTGGGATCTGGGGACTGTGAGGCGGCGCAGGCGGCGAGAATGCCGGCAACAGGGAGCGACTCGTCAACATGGATTTGCGGGGGTCTGGGCCGTGGTGTCGACATTGTGTGAGTTGGAGGGAGGTCAAGTTTCGAAGTCAAGGCAGTTTCGCGTTCCCAAGACTTGGCGATAGATGTGTTCAGGGGTGACGTGGTGGTTGCGGGAACATTAAAGGAAGAAGGGCTCAACAGAATAGTGAGTGAATGGGACAATTATGGTGTGTTGCGGTTAAAGGGGTCAGGGTTGAAGATGAACGACAACTGGGAAGGCCGGGCCTGCAAGGCGGATAAAGCCTGCGAAATTGAACGTCCCAACTTGGGACAGATGTGCCCTGAAGTACACATCGTATGATGCACCACATTGCTGGCACATGGCATCCCTCCTCGCCTCGTGTACTTCTACTTCTTGTTTTTCTATTGGATGAATGTTCATGCATTGCTGGAGAGTCTCTCAACTATAAGACAGTACAGTATCAGACATGTCGCAAGTGGGATATAGATCCTACTTGCGACATGTCTGATACTGAATGCTACAGAGAGGCGAGCAATGAAGCGGGTTGAATTCACGAAATTTGAAGAGAGCTTAAATGAACAGCACAGCAAGAGAAATCAAGAAATTGGTATGCATAGGTCTCATATTCAGGAAAGAAATTCAATTTACTTCAAACCACGGACTTATTCTACGCTAGAGACATCGATACGTCCTTTCTTCCAGTGTGAATTCAATAAATTAGCGATACTCCCAATGGCCGATACCCAGATTTGAATAACACGTCGCCGAGCTTGATGCCCAGAGGAGCTTGTCGCGAAAAGTCAACTCATCAATAGTCGAAGGTGGGTGTAGCCTTGAGGAGGTCAAAGAAATTGTCTTTGACGGGGTTTGCTGAGGCAGCAGAGATGAGGAGGACAGCGACAACAAAAAAGGTAGTCGTGTTCATTTTGATGACTTCTGTTGGTAGCAGAAGGAGATGAAAAGATATGAAGGTTGAAGAACTTGCTTTGCTGCGAAAATGCTATGCTTGAGGAAACAAATCCCCTACATTTATAGTGCTGAAAATGAGTGGTCCCACATTACCGGGCATGGGGTCAACCGTGCCATCAATGGCCGGGGCCACTGCGAGCGGCCCACAAGGCGGGAGGTTGTAGAAGCTTTCTCTCCAGCAGGCACATTCTGGAAAGAGTTGGGGGCCTTTTCTTCAAATTACATCTTCCTTCGCCTGCCCATTAATCGCAAACAGGACCGGAGGGGCGGTTACAGCAAAAAGAACATCCTGTTTCCTCACTAGCTAACATCATGGAAATCGGACATTTCCGCCATTCCGTTTTATATGCAAGTACGAGCGGAATGCGGGTGCCCTTTGCATGGAGTGCATGACACTAACTATCAATTCCATGCCTGGGCGAAGCAAGACTTACAATGGCAATGGCCCCAGAACTTTCGAAGCCTGAGGTTCAGGGCGTACCACCTTTTCACATTGTTTATATACAGAAATGAACCTCTGTGACGGTTCACTTTGTAAGGGCTTTCAGATTAGTGACAAAGTTTATTTACAACCAGGGAGAACCCAGTGTTTTATCTACTTCTCACATACTGCACATGAGTGCTGTACATGAGTACGATAGCACTACGATTCATGTAAATGGCTGGGCCCCTACTCACCGACACCTGCGTCAACCCAGCAGGGACAAAGAGCACAGTTCTGTGCTGTACGGGCATATGATAATGAAAGTTCTCGTTTTCTCTACTGTAAAAATGGAAGGTAAAACTGTCGGGAGACCGACCGAAAGGGGCGGTCCGGAGGGGGATTTTGGTGAGGGTAAAAGGGTGGTAAATAGGGTTACCTTAAAGGGAGGGAGGAGCGGCAGGCTATTGCCTCAGAACCGCTACAGAGAGTGAACACAGTCAGGGGACGGGGTTGTCGGGTTGATGGTTCAGGTGATCGAATGTGCTGAGGTCGAAGACGAGTAGCGTCTTCGACCTGGCTTTATAGTCCTATTGACTCTACAACAAAAGTAGGCGCACTACCGTAAAACGGAGGTTGCCCCACCCACGAAATGTGTCTAAACGGTTACACCCTAAAACATGTAGAATTGTAGGTGGCACGTAGAATTGTAGGTGGCACGTTCTTAAGGGACTCTATCGTTGATAGCTAAATGTAGCCCACATAGTCCCTGAATCGATATTGAGAACATAGAAGTGTGATATCTACTGTAGTCTAGTCAATAAGTCTAACACTCCCCAAACTTTTTCGTGACATATGTCATGTGTTCACGAATTGCGATTGATCCACTGTTCGATAGGATGTGTAAGAATTGACCGTTGTATCATTTCGATCAGTATATCACTTTTCTTGACCTTGGTCAAAGAATCTGCGGGGTTGTGTTCGGAGCGAATGAAGCCTATGGCGTGCAGTTCGTGTCTCTGGTATGCATCCTTGACAACTTTAACATCGATCATTAGTCGCCTTTCGGATGTTATCTTTGCTTTAGTGATAACATCAAACAGGGATAGATTATCCGTAAGCATAACGATCGGAATGTCGAGCGATGTCATGGTGTGAAGATCGTTTTTCATTGCGAAGGCCATATCGAAAGCGTCAGCAAAGGCCATTGTTCCGCTTCCTAGGACAGATCTGGAAATGCGTTTGGATTTGTGCGACGACCAGAACAATGGTTGGCAATTATCATTTGCATCAGCAAGGAAAATGATATATCCTAACTGAGAAGATCCGTCAAGGTTGTTTCCGTATGATGCATCGGAATAGGCTTGTAACCGAAGACTTTTGTGGTCCAATTTAGGGAATTTGAGGACCTGATCTGTACTGGTAAGGAGATGTTTTACCACAGAATTAAGTCCCTTACAGTACTTCGTGGGGTCCGAGTTGAAGATTTCTTCAGTAACCTGAGCTGCCTGTGCAATAGAGCATGTAATATCCGGACGGGACTGAGTGGTGTGGTACAACGACCGATCCGCGGTCGGTGTACAGTAGGAGCGGCCGCGCGCAGCGGGCACGGGGCACCGTGGCCCACGTGTAATACGTATGATTACCGAACGGGCGCAGCAAGTGACAGGTGTACGCTTGGGTACACGTGTAGTGTAAGGAACCGTGTGGGGATAATGCGCGCGCAGTGTAATGCAAGCGCGTAGTGTGAGGATCCGTGCGGTAGTGTAATGACGGCGCTAGATTTTCAATCGCGTACAGTACCTGGTCCACAGTAAGTGACAGGTACTGTATTGGACAGGTGTCCCGGGCGTCCCTCTGAGGGGTTAAGACCTGGACACCGTCCTCGCAGTAAACACGGGGGGCAGACTTGCCCCCCTCCCTTTCGCGCCTACGTACTGCCGTTTCGGTATTCTCTCGCGCGTTGGCTTCTAACCCGTTACCGGTCGTCTCCGAGTGTGCTGGAAAGGACTGCGCGTAACCGGCCAGTGTGCCACTCCCTTTTCGCAAGTCCGACCGTTCGGTAACCGCGCGCCGCGCGTCTCGCGTCGCGAGCTCCCTCGGCTCATCCTCCGAGCCTCTCGCCCGCTAGGGTTTGAGGAGAGTTGTACCACATTTTGGTACTCTTGTGGAGGGGCACAACTCTCGGGGTAGAGCCGCGCGCCTTGACGCCCGCTCTGCGCAGAACCGTACGGACGGAAAAGGTTGAGAAATCACCGCGTCGATCGCGAAGCGTATTCGACGATGAACCGACCGGATCAAGGGGCAGACTCCGCCTCCGGGCGTCTGAGCACCGGCAGTGGCAGTGGCGCACCGCGCCCCCGGGTGGAGAACCCGGAAGCCCTGCTGCGACCGCCACCGCGACCCGGCCGCACGCGAGCGTCCGCATCGGATGTTACGCCGGCCGGGTCGGCAGGCACTGAGAATCGCGTCCAATGGATGGTCGACGCGATTCAGCCGCGCATCCAGGCCTGGGTCGAGGAGTTCCTCGCTACGGAACTCCCCCAGGTAGCGCGCGTATGCCTCGACCGAACGGTGCCCGCGCTCGTGGACGTGCACGTACGCAGCGCGATACCACCGCTTTCGGACGAACTTCTACCCGCTCAAGTCCAATGCGAGGTGGTGACCGCGCTCACCACTGTGGATGAAGAATCCCCGTCCGGTACGGCTCTAAAGGGAGCGATCAGCTCCGCCGTGGCCAATCGTCTGGCCACGACCTTCGCCGGAGCAGGAGTCGACGCACGCGAACAGCGCGACTCAACCGCTCCGGATCCTACGCTAACGCACGCTGAACCGATCGGCGCCGCACCCGGGATCGGTACAATGGCCCCTCACCCGGAGGGTAAGACCATTTACCTCCCACCAATTTATGGTGCTACAGGAGGGCCCACAGAAAATGGCCCTCCCGTACTCGCCGATACGGCTGGCCCCCGCGGGACAGAAAACCGCCTGGGGCGCTTCGCGACAGAAAAGCGACAGCCGTATCGGTCGAGCAGAAGAAGCGCACCCGGCGCTCAAGGTTACACCTCGGAGGGTACAGAAAACCCCTCCGAGGAAGAAGACACAAGACGTCGCCACAGGGCGACGCGCAAGAACCGCGACGGACGCTACGCGCGATACCGCGATGCCGGAGGGGTCGGTTACCCCTCCGATGATAACCGCGACGGACGCTACACGCGATACCGCGATGCCGGAGGAGGTGGATACCCCTCCGATGACGAGGACACCGAGTCGGACGGATCGCGCAGAAGCGACCGCAGATGCCGCAATGCGCGCGACCGACGTCGGTTCCGGCGAGAAGACTCCGATCCGGAGGGCTACAGTAGCCCCAGCGAAGAAGGAGACCGCCATCGCAGGGGCAGAGACCGCCGGTCTGCCCCGAGGCGGGATCCGAAACGGTTGCCGGTGATCAGGCCGCTGAACGACCTGTTCACCAAGGCCGTCGACTACCGCACGTATAGGCTGGAAAATCGCAGCGCGCGCTACGACGCGAGTACGGCGCGGCGAGTTAACCGATATCGGAAGAAGTTGGACGTCCAGCTGAAAACCCACACATTCGGTGGTCAAGATCCAATCGCGGTGCTAGGATTCCTCGCGCGCTTCAAGATGGCCTGCGACCACAATGGGGTCAGCGAAGGCGCGGCCGTATGGTGTTTCCAGTTCTATTTGACTGGGCAGGCTCACGCCTTGCTCCAGTCCAGGCTACACGGGAACACCATGGCGGTCGATGCGGAGCAGCGCGATATGCTCGAGACCTACGCGGAAGTTATTAACTTTTTATTGCGCACGTACGCGACCGACGAAGTTATTTCCGAAGCGGTCGGTGATGTCACCTCCTTCCGTCAGAGCTCTAATATGACGGAGGAGGTGTACAGTAACCAGTTGTGGGACAAGGCGTTGCGCTGCGGAACCGTATTTTCGGACAGGCGCCTGAAGTCCCTTTTTGTTGAGGGACTTCTGCCAGCGACGTGCGCGCAGGTGCGGAATTATCTCGC